ATACTTCTCCATGTAGACGACCAAGAACTCTTCGAAGCTAACCACGAGCGATCATGAACATCCGTGATTTTATACTTGCTTCGTAAGACAGCGGCCCAAAGGCTAGTTTTATCATTCAAAAGGCGCCACCTTACTTTTGACAAGAGAGCTTTATTCATTTTCTTTGCTGATCTAATACCAAGACCCCCTTCATGTTTTGGTAAACAAACTCGCTGCCACGCAATAAGGTGTTGTCGTCGTTTCTCCATAGTTCCTCCCCACAGAAAATTCCGTGAGAAGGAAAGAAATATATTAGATTTGATCCAACAAAAAAAGCTCATATCTTCCTCATGTCTCGAGAAGGAAAGAAATATAAAAAGATAACGATCCAAAACGTAAATCTCTATCCGAATCTATCTCTTTGACTCTCTCTCTCACAATTAGAGAAATACCAAAAGAGCATATAAATCATACATCATCATCCAAGAGAGAGCTTGTGATCACAGCCACTATCTCTATTTTTTTTTTCTTTCTCTCATCTCAATTTTTTATTTTCTTTACTTTTTCTTAATTTTCTTGGTGAGAATAGGATTCAGAGAAAAAGAATAAGAAAAAACCCCGAAATTTCAGCGTTATTCAGAATTACACAACAAATAAAATCTGAGGTTCCCTATCTTTGCCTTTTCATATTTCAACTTTTGAGGTATTTTACTTTCTCTCTTTTATTTTATTTTCTCTCTTCCTGAATTTTGTTTTTTTGGTGGAGTTTCCACTAAATCCTTTGAAGATTTCAATCTTCCTTAGCAATTTTGTTAGATTTAAAGTTGGTAAGAACACGAGAGGGAACATTAAGAGGTCATTATATTAGGTGTTTGTATATATAAAGATTTGGTTTCTTTCATTTGCTTTTCCCTTTGAATCTTTTTTCAAGAAAATGCCAAGAAAACACAAGAATCCAAGTTGTAAAATCCCGTATTCTTTAGGGGGAAAAATGTTTTGAAAAAAGTGTCGTAATCACTTTATCACGTGTATAATATGATGTTTTAGATCACTCACGAGTCATGTTCATCGTAGCCTTCTTCTTAGCTGTATAATTCAATCGCAAAACTCTAATATAAAACTTCTCTTTGTTTTTTCTCAGAATCTAAATTGACCACATATACGGAGAATAACGAGAACGACAAGAGGTACGTATAACCATATATACATTTAGATGTTACTTTTTTTTTTTCTTTGATTATATATAATTTCTATATAAAGTTGACTCTCTAGTAGGAAAAAAAACCCAACATGTTTGACTCACTTATTATTCAAGTCAATAACATTTTTGACTAACACTTTAAGGTTTACGAAATTATTGATACATTTACAAGACGTATACTTATCTGTCTCTGATTCTTGTTTTGTTTTGTAGAAAATGGTCGCCTTTGGAAAAAAGCTAAAGGAACGTAGTATTGAAGAATGGCAAGAGTATGTTTCTTTAACATTCAAGATTAACTTTGAAAAAACAAAGTTTATGGCAATGTGAATTATGATTCATGTACTTGTTTTTGTTTTCGATATACTCTTTTAGTTATTACATCAATTACAAATTGATGAAGAAGAAAGTGAAACAATATGGTCAACAAATCGAAGTAGGAAGTCTAGATCGTCGTCATTGTCTTAAAGATTTCTCAAGAATGTTGGATCATCAGGTTTTTCTTTTTTTTCTTCACTAAATTTTTGCGGTTTTAAACTTTATAAGAATGATCCATTAACGCTTTGCAGATCGAGAAAATCGCGCTTTTCATGTTGGAGCAACAAGGTTTGCTTTCAAGTAGGTTACAGAAACTAAGGGAATGGCATGATGTACTCCAAGATGAGCCTGACATATCTGAGATATCTAACCTAAGAGAGGCTTATAGATCAGTGGGACAAGATCTTCTCAAGCTTTTGCTTTTCATCGATATGAATGCTATTGGTATCCGCAAGATTCTTAAGAAATTCGATAAAAGATTTGGTTATAGATTCACAAACTATTATGTCAAGACTCGTGCTGATCATCCTTACTCTCAACTTCAGCAAGTGTTTAGACATGTGGTATAGTCTTAGAATCTCACTTAGCCTAATCTGCCACTATACTATAAGCTTAATGTTTCGGTTTTATCGATTTTTCTAGGGTCTTGGAGCTGTTGTTGGAGCCATTTCCCGAAACCTTCATGAGCTTCAAAACAATGAAGGAAGCTACTTATCCATTTACGACCAGCCTGTTGTTCCTCTTCAGGTTTTGTTGTAATTCACGAGTTTTGTCTATGAAAAAACCTAAAATCGCGGTTTAGTGTCATCAGTCTTTTTGTGTGTTTCCTTAAATTTTACAGGATCCTGTGGTGGATTCAATCAAGAATGCAGTGGACAGGCTAACACATTCAACAAACTTCCTCAACTTCATGGCTCAACATGCTCTAATAATGCAAGACGAAGACTTACTGATCCCTCATGACGAGCAAGCGGATCAAGAAGAAGGGAGATACCATTTCATGTCTCTCTTGTTAAACTTGGCCAACACGTTTCTCTATATGGTCAATACCTATATCATTGTTCCTACAGCAGATGATTACTCCATGAGCCTAGGAGCAGCAGCAACAGTTTGTGGTGTTGTCATTGGTGCTATGGCAGTTGCTCAGCTCTTCTCTTCTGTTTACTTCAGCGCCTGGTCCAATAAATCTTACTTCAAACCACTTATTTTCAGTAGTATCGTTCTTTTCTTCGGGAACCTGTTATATGCTTTAGCTTATGACTTCAATTCATTAGCACTTCTCTTGATTGGTAGGCTTTTCTGTGGGTAAGTCTCTTTAGGCCTCTGTTTATATACTTTGTTTTCATGAGAAAACATTGGCTTTATTATCATATTTATACGTTTTGTAGATTTGGTTCGGCGAGAGCAGTGAACCGAAGATATATAAGCGACTGCGTGCCATTGAAAATCCGAATGCAAGCTTCCGCGGGATTTGTTAGCGCGAGTGCTCTAGGAATGGCTTGTGGTCCTGCTCTTGCTGGTTTGTTACAAACTGATTTCAAGATTAAAAGTGTTACATTTAACCAGGATACATTACCTGGTTGGGTTATGGCTGTTGCTTGGCTATTATACTTAGTCTGGTTAGCTATTTCGTTTCGGGAACCCGCACGTGAGCCTGAAGAGATTGATACTTCACAAGAGTCTAAGTCCGGTATGGAGTTAAAGAGTACTACTTCTGTTTTTTTTTTTTTTGCTTCTATATTCTTATCTGATTAGAACAATCTTTTGTGGTGAAGCTGATCAAGATGGGAGTATGGAGAAAGGTCTTAAAAAGCCACTGTTGCTTGCATCCGAAGAAACAGAACATGATGAAGAAGATGATGGTGATGGAAGCGAAGAATCTTCTGACGATTCGCGTAAACCCGCTAACTCCTTTGTAGCTGCTTACAAACTACTAACTCCTTCAGTAAAGGTAACTAAAACTTAATTTTTTTAATAAGAAGTCTATTTACTTAATCTTGATTTTTCATTTTTTTTTCCTCAAAAGAGAAAAAAGATGACAACTCTATATTGTTATTATTAGGTTCAATTGTTGATATACTTCATGCTTAAGTACGCAATGGAGATTCTACTATCAGAATCAAGTGTTGTTACTACATACTACTTTGGTTGGTCCATGAGTTCTGTTTCCATCTTCTTGTTCTGTCTCGGTTTAACCGTTCTACCGGTTAACCTCGTTGTTGGAAGCTATATCAGCAACATGTTCGAAGATCGGTAAAGATCCTTATATACGTTAGTTTCTTGAACTTTTCGCCTTGCGTGTTGCCTGAAATTGTGAACTTTCTTATTACAGGCAAATTCTCTTGGCCTCAGAGATTATGGTCTGTATTGGAATACTTCTCAGCTTCCATGTAGTTATCCCTTACACAGTGCCACAATACGTAATCTCAGGATTCATCATGTTTGTTTCTGCTGAAGTTCTTGAAGGTAAATTATAGATATACTTACTGCTACAACTTTAGCAACGTTTTAACCCGAAATTGTTTTCAAGATCAAATCTTTTATGAATTTCTTGCGTTCTTGAAAGTAAAAGATCCATCTTTCTCATTTGAAAACATGTTTTTTTTTGGATTTTGCAGGTGTGAACTTATCGTTACTATCGAGAGTGATGTCATCGAGGCTGTCACGGGGAACCTACAACGGAGGGCTATTGTCGACAGAAGCTGGCACGATCGCGCGAGTTATAGCTGATGCGACAATCACTTTGGCTGGTTTCTTGGGACAGAGTATGCTTTTGAATGTTACTCTGCTTCCTTCTTTGGTCATCTGTGTTGGTTCTATCGTAGCTACTTGTTTTACTTATAACTCCTTGTATTAGTGCTTCTTTCAAAGTTTTTTACAACATAGAAACCAACTCTTTCCTTTGAATATAATTTAACATTTTATTCAAAAAAAAAAAAAGAAACCAACTCTTTGATATTAAGCTAACTCCTAGGTTCGATTGTTTCTCTTTTCTTTTGGCTTTACTTTGATCTGTTTGTGAAAGTTTTGTTTTCTCTGTGTTCATTCTTAGACCCATTGATAAAAATACTTTTGATGTTCTTGGTTGTTTTTATTGCTATACGTTTCTAGAAAACAACTTGTAAAACTTCAGCAACTCTAAGTTAGATTACATAAGTAGGCATGACCACGGTTACTGTTACCATGGTTGCTCGGTGTATGTCAAGTCGTACACAGCACAAAAATACATGGATTGTATAAGTACGTCGTCATTGATACTAGAACTAGTACTATAAATAACTCATGGTTTCTTTGTATCACATATCCTTTCACTACAAAACAACTCCAAATGTATTAAAGAAACACCCACAATGTTTTGGCTAGGATCGTGTCTACTAATGAAATAAGTTATGACTATATACTGTATGTGTGTTAAGAGATCCATGAAATACAAAATTTGACCTTTTTGTGTTTTTTTGCCAAGATGATCTTTTCATAACAATTGTGACTACATAGAAATCATATGTGAACACACAGACGAAATAGCTTTCCAATAATATCCAAATTCTCATTTGCATGAGAGAAGTAAATCAATAGTAAATAAAAAAAAACAGAACATACAAGTCCCTAAAATCAAAAGTAACAAGAAAGAAACTTATAGAACGATTAAAATGGTGCATAGTAACATAACATTTTTTGCAGGTGACTTTGTTCCTTTCAATTTCAAGAATCAGTGTCCATTGGCTATGGATCCATCTTCACCTTTCTTGCCATAGAATCTCCGGTACAAGGAATCAACCTCTTTCAGATAATAAGTACCCGGAGCCAAAAGGTCTATAATACCATCCTTGCTTGTCACAAAGTCCTTTGCTCCATACCTATGTTCCATTAGCTTCATTGTCTCCACAAATTTCTCTGGTGCATACTGAAATAATAAACATACCCCCGAGTCGGATATTAATGATCAAGATTCAAGATACTAATTAGAAACGCGGTTTTGCTACTAATGTTCTTGTGTTACCTCATGTCTAGCCTTCAATTTACCGCCGACATCCATTACAGCTGCGATGTTTGAAACGCTGAAAGGGGACTGATTGTCGCAGAGGCGTAATGAGAACATAGTTGCGGTTGAACCACTTCCATATGAGAACATAACCACCCGCTTTCCCGGCTATACAAAACAACCAAAACTCATATGTAACAAACTTCACACCAAATGTAGGATTTCAATATATAGTCAGAAGAAGCAAAGTTTTGTTTTCTATTATTACCAAATCGTTGTGTTTGTTGTGGATGAGGGAGGCAAATGCAGCGTAGAGTGAAGCGGTGTACATATTACCAATTTCCTTTGGTATTAAAGTCGTTGGTTGCACTTTAGCATCATAAAACGATTTTGCAAGTTGTTGTGACACCTGCAAAATAGACAAGATTGTTCAGCTTTTTAACTCGGTTTTCTCTCGGTATCAAAAGCAAAGGAAACGGGAAAAAGTTTTCACCTTTTCAAGATCACGGCTTTGGTAACTCTCATCGAGGGACAAAGATGAATAAGGGGTGAATTTTTCTTTGGCAGCCTCGTCAATGGAGCTGCAGTAGAGGAAAGAAGATGTTACTCACGATCAAACAAGTAAAGAAATTTTAATCTGAAGACAAAATTGAGAAGCAAGAACCTTGCGTTTCTCAAGAAGTCATTGTACAAGAGACGAGCGAAACTTTTCTGTACAAGCTGTAATAGCAGAGAGGACTGGTAAGAGATAGTTCAAGTAGAACAAAGCTATTGCTGGAGCATTTAAGAAAATTACTTTATTGTATGGAGAGTGGAAAACAAAGTAATCAGCATCATTGATAGAGAACTCTTTGCCCTCAATTTTCTCGAACCTAATAAAAACCAAAGAAGAAATGAGCCACACACAACACCAGAAGAAAGAGACTGAGGTTTTGTAACCATGAAAAAAAAAACACTTACTTGTTGCATAAATGTTTATAGCAAGAGTCAAGAGCCATAAGGTAGCAAGTCTGTGAAAGCTTACCATCAACAACCTACAAGATCAAGAGAATGAATAAGCAATAAGAATTTGATTCTCTGTGTCAAATAATTGAGACTATGTATTAAAGATTACCGGGTACTCGCTAGCAAGATTGGGCTTGTAAAAGTCATAGACATGAGCCATGTGGCTTGCTCTCAATTTGCTTTCGAAAACGATAGGAGCATCAGGTCCTATCAACATAGCAATCGCTGCTGCTCCTCCAGTGGGCCTCGCAGGTCCTTCTGCATAAACCTGAAAGCATTTCAGATATAAACAGGTCAAGATTCATGGAAAAGACTCTTAGGAATAGTAATAAAATATGTCCTATGTCGATGTTATACCGCGCTGTCAGTACAAATGACGAGGCCATAACGTCCATCCCATGAGTTACTCTCAACCCAATTGACACAGTTTAACAACGCTGCAGTTCCTCCATAGCAAGCATTGGTCGAGTCAACACCTTCTACATCAGTGTTTCCACATTTCTGTTCATTCCCTCAAAAAAAAGACAAAACTTTACTCTCTATTTACACAAAGAAACTCAAGCTGTACTCAGATTTTCAAACGCAATTAGTATAAATACCTCAAAGAGCTGCATCAAGAAGGTTTTGATGGATTTGCTTTTGTCAATGACAGTCTCACTACCTACTTCAAGACGCCCAATTTGCTTCGGGTCAATCTTATACTTGTCAAAAAGTGATGTCACCGCATTGAAACTAAAAGAAACACAAACCAAGAAACCGATTAATTCAGTCTTTGCATGACAACACACAAATGCAAACAAAAAAGAATCAGTCTTTTCATGAGTTTATACATATGCAGCCAAAAAAAACAATTACCTCATAGAGATCACATCTTCAAGCTCAGTGCAAAAAGCTAAGCAATCTTGGCCAAGTCCAATAGTGTATTTCCCTTTGCTTGCTCCATCATGTGCTTCCAACGCTTCCTATATACCAAACAACAAGACCAGTATTTCAAAGATCAGAATCAAGAACTTAGAAACACATGAAAGCAAGAGATTCTTAACAGAACGTTTTAGATCACTTGCTTCAATCTCAATAAGAACCATAAAATTTGTAAAACAGGTTCAAGCTTTTTCACAATAGAGACTTAAACTAAAAACCTCAGGATCAAGGACCTGCAAAAACCCTATCAAACTCCTAAATTTCAATTAAAAGAAACACTCTTTAATCACTCTATATCACCAAATCTCAGACCTAGCTGTAAAGATCTCGAGTTTGAGAAACTCAAATCAGAATCATGATCCTTTTAAAAGTTATTAAATTGAGCATTCTCTGTCTTAACTCCGCCGCCATTACAAGACAACAAAAAAAAACACAGAGACAAAAGATTAAGCATTCTGAAAACAACATAAAGCTTGAAGATTTGTCTGAACAATTACATAAAGTTTGAAGATTTATAAAATCAAACGTATCAGAAACGTCAAAAAAGACCAAGAAAAACAGAGCATCAATGCAATAGCTCTGATAATAAAACAGATGAAATCGAGGAAAAATAAAAACTTTGTTTTTATATAGATACCTGTTGAACACAGGTGGGAGGGAAATAGATGTCCATAGCTAAAATCCCAACGTTCTTCGCCATTGTTTCGATGAAAACGAAAGAACCTTTTTTTTTTTTTTTTTTTTCTTCGCAGAGAACGAAATCGAAAGTTTCGATTTTTAAGAGAGAGAGATTTGTGAAGCTCTTTTGTAGAGGAAGAAGGAAGATATAGGAATGAATCGGTTTGTAAACAGAAAATGGAAAAAACTCAATTTGTTTTTTATTTTATTTTTAATAAACAAGTCCACGAGCTTTAAAAGGGGATTTAAAAATTTTAATGATTTTTTTCTTATAATTATTTTATTAATATTGGTTGTTTTTGTTTTTAAATTTGGTCAACAAAAAAAAAATACTTGTACAGTTGTACTTCATTTCTTTTATTTTTGGGTTTTAAGATTCAAATTTTGATTGTTTAGTTTTAGTGTTTTAATTAAAGCCAGCTGAAAATGCCAGTTATTTAATATAATTAATTAATGATTATTTTGTTCTAACTAAAGGCACTTTTTGTTCAAATTTTATATATATATATATATATTTTTCCTGGGACAGCTACATGTGAAATAAAAAGAAAATGAATACCCACTAATAAACCAAAATATAAACAAATGAAGAAATATGTTTTTTTTTTAATAAAATAATTACCTGGAAAATGGATATATTGTGTTTGTGTGTTTCCGGATTCTATAGACAAACGCAGACTTCGTGAGTTAGCTCACCTCGTGCTTCTCTTTCTTTCCTTTTTTACCCTTTCTCTTCTTCTCTATCTACCATTTTGCCACTCACTAATTTTTGTTTACAAGTTTTTGATTCCACTTGGTTTGTTGTCATCAATGATAGATAGAGTAGCTTTAGAACATAAACTTGGCTTCATACTTGGAGTTAGGTTCAATTCATTTTTTTTGGAATATGGCTTACTTTTTAGTTCAAACGATCCTTTTACTTTTGTTCTTGTAATGAAATAAATGTTTTCAGATTTTCAACATAAATTTCAACACGAGTTTTGAGATTCGATGGTACGATTCAATCGGTGATGCATTTACCAAATTCAGTTCATTGAAAAATGACGATGATATATATAAATTTTTATGAAGTCGGTGATATATTTACCTAGCTTATTAATTCCGTAAAATCACACTTTAAAAACTGTTAAAGTAATGTGAGATTGCGGTAATATGTATAAAGTAACATTTTTACAAATTCGATGATATATTTGACTAGTTCATAAACCAAATCAACATTTTTTAAATATCTGAAAAGGAAAATTAAGTCGAATAGTTTTTGAAAGTTTTGACCTAAAAAAATAATTTCACTACTAAATTTTGTGGTTCTTTTAGTTTGATAATATTTTTTTTTAAAAAAATTCACCAATATGCCAGATTAACATTTTTTGGTAATCATATGCCAGATTAACATTAATTGGTTAAATTTAGCACCGAACCAACTCAAGAACATGAAAAAGTCATGAGTTATAGATTTATTCACACTATCTATCAACCTACTATGCTTAACTAATTTTGTTTTCTTTTCACAATTTCTAATAATATTTATTAATAATTTGACTGGATTTAAATAGCCCATATATTAAATCATCAACAACATGGAAAACATTTTTAAAATGAATAGAATTTAGAAGTTAAAATAATTTATCTAATCTTTTCGTGATCAGACAGAACATGGTGGTGGGATTTTTGATTCAATGAGTTCGGACTTTTGAAACACGTGAAAACATTGTCGTTTTCGTAAAGCTATATATAAACAATGTAACAATTAATATTCTCCCTCCCCCTAAGACCTTGGAATCTCCGCCACCGTCCGATTAAAGAATCTATCAACATCCTCCTACCGTCCGATCTGATTACCAAAAATGGTCAAACAATATTGTAGAAATGTACTAATTTTAACCAATTTCAGACCAGAGCTGATGAGTGAGATGAGTTCGTGTAATTCAACGTACGTCACGATTTTGTGGGACATAAAGTTACGTGTGATGGATGATGATACGATACGAATACGATCGATGGCTGCACAAACTCGTGGGGTTAAACACGTGATGGTGGTAGGTGAAAGGTTCGATACTATATCACTTTCTTCAATTATTGTATTTTGAGCAATTTGATTTCTTCTATTTATGACATTTTTATTTGGGGGTTATCAAGTAGACAAGTAGTATGACGTTGCCAACGGTTTGTCCATGACCAAAAGTTACAAAACTCTTTTTTTTGTTTGTGTTGACAAAAAATGTTATATTATAATTTATAACTAAGTAAATCAAATAATTTAGTCTTCGATTTTCAATCCGCTATATATATTTGTAGTATTGATGAGATGAAAATACACAAATGAGTTAGTGGTACTCATCTTTGTTATTATTTACGCTAAATTTAGATTCGAACCTGGTTTTTCTTAAAGAGAAAAGTGTAATTTGGACACTAAACAACGATGAAAATATATATATATATATATATATATATATATATATCATATTTTTAAAATATATATTTTTCCTATCTTCGTTAAATATTTGACTAAGGTTCAAAACTTCAAATCTTAGAAATTTGATTTCTAATGAAGCACGTTAATACTTTGATTTTTGCTCATATTATGGAAACACGTTAATACTTCAAGTTATATTAACTAATTTAATTGTCATTTACCAATCTTTGGTAAAAAATCATTGTCATTTGATCATTTTTATATATGTAACACATAGTACGAATTATTTTTCTGTTTAAAATAGAAATGATGGTTATAACAAAACAAACTAAATAATTAGTCACGTTTTTTTTTCTTACTTTTAAAAAAGCTTATCTTAAATCTATGCCAATCTTCGAAAGCTTGTGACATCTTATTCATCTCAAAAGTCAAAACAATGTCATATTGTTAAAATCATGATTCTCGTGTAAAGATTGTTTTGAATAAATTTATTATATACTATTTTAAATTAATAAAATACATTATTTTTTTTTTTGACAGAATATAATACATTAAAAATATTTTAATTTATAGGTTTCGTTCTTTGTCATGCGTTCGAGATCTGTTGAAGTCTGATCGTATTTGGAAGACTTCTTGTTAGACGTTCTTCGTGTATAACGTCTTCGTCGTTTCCGAAAGCTAGGTGTTTGTCGAGTTTTGAAGTCCTTGGTTTCGAGAGATTGGCTCTTTTCGTGATAGGAAGTGGTAGATGTTATCTTTGGTTTGGCCATGGACATCCTTGGTAAATCTCTCTCAATTGTGTCTAAGAAGAAGAAGTGCTTTGTGTTCTTGGTTCTATTGTTTAGCTTAAAGTTTTATGGTCGGTTTCTTTTGTTATCAGTTTAAGGATTAGTCTCCTCTCGGTTTAGGTTCTAAATTTTCTGTTTTGTATCTTTTTTAGACTCGTTTTCATAGGATTTAATAACTCTTGAGACATTTTCATCGTTCGCCGGTTTATGTTTCATCTTTTGGGCTTTGTATTTCATTTTTGGTTTCACAATAAGAATTAATAAAATTTCAGACAATAAAAGGGAAAGAAATATATTTTAATTTAATTTTTAAAGTATTGTGTTGAGAACACAAATTATAATATTTTCTATGCAACAAAAGAGAAAAATAAAACGTAAATATAAGGCAAACGGGAGTAGCAATAGCCAATAGAAAACACACTAATGATAGATGAGTTGAAATAATTGTAATAAATAAATTTACAGAGAGATTTCTTGAAGTGGAAGAAACAAAGAACAAACGTGTTGAAACATACAAGGTAAGTTTCAAATGGTGAGGTTTTCTTGGAGTGCAAGGAACGAGCCTATGATCTTGCCACCGAGATCTGGGAATGTCTCGCATCCAGGAAGAGAACTCACTTTCCCTGTTCTGTCGACTTGAACCGGATACTTAAGAAGATGACCTTGCATCTCTGTAACCTCTTCTGCTGCATATTGTCTCCAATTGAGCTCACTCAATTGCCTTACTCGTCTTACGCATTCCATGTTCTCTGGCTCTTCGAAACCTTGCTCTAGATACCCTAGATGTTCTGCCCATAACGACATCCTATATCCAAAGATCTGCAAGAAAATGGGACAAACCAGGTTTCATACATGTTTTTGAGGACATACGTTGGTTGGGTTTCTATGTTTCTCGTCATGATTGAAAATTGTAAAAGTCTTTCAAAGTTTTTATACCTGACCACGAGGACGAGAGCCTTTCATAGCCCATGAATGGTGAGGCTGATACCCTCCCATGGCGATTTCAGTGTCTCTAGTTCCTTCCAAGGATCTCTGGTTGATATTCGCAGAACCAATTAAGACAAACTCATCATCCACTACCATACCTTTGGAATGAACATATATCATGAATCTCCGACTCTTCAAAGCTTGCACCTAGATTGGTTTGTTGTTTCAGTGAGTAATCGAATCCATTAAGCCAAAATAGAAGATTTCAAAAGAAGACATTTCTATATGTATACCTGTGTAGCATTTGCGTTTGCCTGAGGTGGATTACGTGGACTATTATATACGCTAACTGTTCCATCAGGGACCTCTCTGGTTCCAAGACAGAAAAAGTTCAAAAAGTCTTGTGGCTCAAACTGGTCATCAAGACCAACTTCCACAAGTGCCTTGTGGATGGTTTGATACATCATTTGCATTGTTTTGTACTGCAGAGATTATGAAAAGATACAGGTATAAATAAGGCAAAATTGTTCGTCAAGATCGCTGATAGATTATTTTACCTGCCAGTACAGAATTCTCTGAATAGGGTTACTGGTTGGAGCACCTTCCGGCCACATTGGAATGACAATATAGGCAGCGAACTTCTCCCTTGCTCTGATCTTATTAGCAATCTTAAGTGCGATTTCCATCGGGATTAGATTATTAGCTCCTGAAAATGCCAAAACTCCTTGTTATTAGTACCCGCTTATTACTAAGCTTCCTTTCAAAAGCTTTCAATATTCTTACCCAAGTCCTTGTTCGAATCCCAGTTGAATGATGATCCAAGAAAATATTGATTCTCAATGTAGATGAAATGCTGAGCAGATCGTATGGCCTTAACATAAGCTGCGTGTATGCTCATATCTATGAGAATATTCTTCCCACATAGAAGATTCTGTTCACAGATATAAAATAAGTAGAGCATTACAACATGATGGTGATTGAAAATGACAAGCTAAAAAACTGTTCAGAGTTGTACTTACTCTTCCAGTGGCTTCCTTTGGGTCCTTTGGAAACCCTTTGACGGAACTTGAATCAATTGAACGGAAAACCTAATGATTGTTTATGGAAATCAATGAGATTATTTTGTCACCACCACATCTAACCATAATTCATCATGAGTTATCATGCATGATAATCATCATCACATAATGATGTAATTTAAACAAGTGAGACTTGCTGCATTACCTGAACATGCCAGTTCTCTGGATCATTCTCATTAGCAGAAGAAGCTTCGGAAAGTCCCATGATGTCGGGAATTCTGTCTATCCTAAGCAAAGAATCATCAGACGACGACCTTAGTTTCCCAATTCCGCGAGGCTTTGAAGCCTTTAGCCAACGTTCCTCGAAATTAGCAAGCACATCATATGCAGCAGGACCATCAATCTTGCTGTGCAGATCATGCCATGGTTCTCTTGGTCCATCATCCGCAGTAGTCTATTACAAAAAATATTATTTACACGGATCAAGAATAGTTGAATCTGATTTCTAAATAGCTACCAAACAGGATTTTTCTTAGATGATTACCACAAAATTTGGGTTATGAAAGTCATCTTTGTGGAGTGTCTTTAATGTCCTGAAAAGAGAATGCTTGGGAGTATCAAATCGTCCGTTGCACAAGTCTAACCCTCCAACAAAGGCTACAATCTTTCTTCTGTTCTGACCTGCGTCAGCATCTACAATCACAGTTTTCTGATGATGGGTGTAGATTGTTCCAACTTCCTGATCATCATAATGACACTCAAATTTCAGTAAATGAAGCTCAACACACAGGAGTTTAAGCACTAATGCAGTAATTAATGCTAATGAGCGTCTTACAGATTTTTTTATGAAGCTGTGACCTTTCCCCCCAGATCTGGGACAAAGGAGAACCTGCACTGATGAATGCTTGAAAAAACGACGAGTCTCCTCATCGCTTGTGTTCATAACTCCTTGCTACATGAAACAACAAAAAAGTGTTCATTAAAACGATCGACGGATGGTTGCTTCAGTTAGTGGAGACATGTAAAATGGTCTAACTGACGCAAACGCCCCAACAAAATAAACAGAAAAGTTTCAGAATTCAGGATCCGAATAGTAGGTGGATTAAAAAGAAACACAAAGAAACTAACTATGTGAAAAATTAAGAGTTAAACATTAGACCTGCACATCTTTTTTCGTTAAAAATGCACGCAAACAGAGAAGCTAAAACATACTTTCCAACAAGATAAACAGAAAAAGTGTCAGAACTAACTATCAAAAGCAGAGAATATACAGACGCACAGAGGAAAGTATAAAATGCAACTAAACAACCTTCTATGTGAAAAGTTAAGAACAAAACATTAGACCATTCAAATTGGTGCACAAATAAGCTCCCTAGTATTAGTTAAGCGATAGCTTTAGATCTTAATTGAAAAGCAAGATCAATCCACTGTGGATATCTACAAGTATGTAGCTCCATAAGCTAATTTGGTCAAATGTATTACATGTATCATTATGGAAACCTTTTTCGGTACCCAAATGCCAATCGGCTACTGCTAGCATATAGTTCATGGGATACATATTGTGAGAAATGAATACCTATTAATTTGATCTTATGATAAGCAAAAAGAGAATGTCTTAAGCAAAGAACAGAGTTGTATAGATTCTTACTGTTTTGAATCCCAGAAGGCTTCTTGAAGTTGGATCATCCCACACCAAAACCAACACTCTAACACCTTCTTGAGATTTGTCTTTAAGCAAATCCCCTAATGTACCTTTGGTGGGATCATTGTTCTCACGAACCAGCCTAACCGGATGGAAAACTGACCAACCTGTGATATAAATCAACCTCCTTGCCTGTCTGATGGCATCAGCCATATCCTCCCAGCACTTTCCATGTCTATACTGAACGCCACCATCGAGATGTACACTCGGAAGTGTACCATCATCAACATGAGCATCCTGATACAGAGTAACCCTACCGCCTTTCCTCAAAGGGAAGTATGTACCGGGAACTCCTACACACTCATTACCAAAACCAACACCCATTTGATAAAGTCTCATTCTTTCCATTGGAATGTACTGAATAGACAAACTCAACACAGCACCCGCTTTACAAGGCTTCCCACTACTGTTAAGTATAGGAAACATCCCTTCGATTCTATTCCCTGAACACAACTGCTCAGTAGGGATTCCAACAGCTCCCATGATCTGTGATCCAATAATATCACTATCTTTCACAACAAAATGAACTTCCGCAGCACTATGAGCCACAGGTACATCGAAATGCTGCATCCACACAGGATTCTCAGTATTGCTAATCACAAAAGTTCTACCAATCACAGCACCAGAGATAGAGACAGTGACATAAGGATCACTCGTGATCTTTGAAGACTTCTCACCTTCCACTTTAGAACTATTCTTCCGGCTCAACCCAGAGAACATCCCACCAAGCCTGTTATGGAAACCATCCATGTTAGGAAGATGTTTAGCTTCCTTAACCCAAATGTCTAAATTACCATGTAACAACTCAACCCTCAAAGAGCCGCTACTCGTTGCAAAAGGCACGAATTGCTGGCCATGGCTTGACCCTCCTCCCATAGACATAGTCTCTGTATAAACCGGATGATACGCCATTAATACCCACTAAAGTTGGAAACTTTCAGTAAGCAGATCAAATCTTTAGCATAACCCAGTTTCAGTGAGACAAAAGATCGATCACTTGGTAGGCAAATAACCAAGATCAAGAGTTTTCAAAAAAGGATAAAATTTTGAGAGATATATACAAAACTCAGATCAAATCTAAGAATTAATAAATGGGGGATCTAAAAAAGTTGGGGAGTTCAAATTAAATTTGAGATTTTTAATATTTGTGAAGGAGAAGAAGAAGAAGAAGGTGGGAGGAAACGAAGGGCAACGTTGACTTGAAACGGAAGAATCGGAAAAAAGATTTAAAGATTTTTGGCTGCCGTTGTTGAACCGTTCTAAGGTACTTATTACTTAATCAAACGCAAATGCCAAAAGTAATTACTTATATTTATTTTAGTGACGACGAAGAAGACTTTTCCACTTTTGGTTTCGGCTGCTTTAGAGAAACTCTATTCTCTGATCCCTCTCCTAACTTCAATTTGATTGGAGATAAATTATATCATATAGTAAACATTCGACACAATCATTAAATTAAATCATATAAGAGCATAGTTTTTTATATTCTATAATGGAGAAGACATTTTCTTAGTTTAAGTCTTCCTTGATTATGAAAAGCAGTATATTTCAACAGCTCTAGTGGACGATTCAATTATCAATCGTGGTCCTAGAACTAGATCATTGTCTTGACTTATACAGAAAAACCAAGAAAGAAGAAAATTGACCTTGTTAGTTTGTAAAGAACTTTCAAATTTGAAATAGATTGAATGGGAAATCATCAGTAGCATTTTACTAGAAATTTATTATTTGTAATTAGGTCAATATGAATATATGATTAGCTAAGAAATTAATACTACTGTACTAAGTTATTAAAAATCACATTCTTCAATTAGCAACTTGTAAAAAGTTAGTCAAACTGTGAGCCGGCTAAGCAGAATTTTTATAAAAGACATGAAATGACGTTACTAACGGTGATCACATTCACTTGACAGAATGAAAAAGCCAAATGGTAAGAAACTCATACAAGTGTTAGTTAAATACTTAAATACTTCTCAAAAGATAAAAAGAAAGCTCTAATTTTATGAGCAACAAAAATTAGTTTTAAGGCAAAGCGCAATTACAGTTTTATTTTTTTTGCAGTTAAAACCAGCCAAATTAAAAAAGCTTAAAATTAGTTAGGGAACGAAAGAAAAAAAGGTAGGAAATTTACAGAAGTGACATGAGAGGATTTACATGATTCTACATTTGCTATCTTTATCTTTAGGGGATTTGCCGTCGTGCCTTGAAGACGCAGACGATGCAGCTGATGATGGCTTGTGGCTGCTCCTTGGTACCTGAAAATGGTCAAATACAATATCTGATCTTTTTAGCAGTCAAAGGAAATACCAAAAGAAGCAAAGCTACCTTCCTTTTCAATGAGATTATGATCACGGTATGTGATCATATTGTCGATGTTTACAGTTCACTTTTTAATGCTCTACTCTCTTACAATCATTGTAGTATAATGTTGCAAGATTTTCTATTTATTCCATCATATTATAGTGTTATGAGTAGGAATCAAATACCTGTGGACCAGTGACCAATCGTGAGGCAGCAAGACCTGTTGGTTGTGGCGTTGGATTACTGCGTGGGCTCTGGTCCTCGAACTCTTGTTGTTGCAAAGCTATTGCCAGTTGTAGATCAGAGCTGCGTAGAACCATGGAAATCAAACAATCATAAACATGTTTAAAAGAAGACAATCATAAAAAATGCATAAATGTGTTCTGGTGAGAGTGGTCAAAGAAAGGTATGTGATAATTTACTTGACATCTATGTCTGTGTCTGCCACATTGTTGATACTGGCAAGGTAATCCTGCGAGGGACAACCAAAAGATTTAAAAAATGATTGAAATGGTAAAAGAAAAAGATCTCGCATAGATTAGCGATTATGTAATGAAGAAAACATACAGCAGTATTTGTGACTGCGTTTCGTTCATCCCATGTACCACTTGCGCCACCTGTGCTGCTATCAATTTTAAAGTCCTTAAAGGTGGCAGTCATAAATGCAGTGTCGCCATTAACCTGTAAACAAGTTGCATGACAATAGTGGTCACAACAAGCCAGCGCTATAGAGGTTGTGGGCAAAATTTATTTCCTTAAAAGAGGCCAAAATTAGCAGCTAAGACAAATACTGAGTAAGTAACTTTGCTGATACCTCGTTTAATTTTTCCCAAACCAAATCAGGCTGATTCAGGTAACCTTGATCTGTAGCCAAAAGATAAAGTTCACCTTCATACTGACAAAAAAGACAGCAACAAGAAGTATACAATTGGAATTAACCTGTTACAATCCAAAAGATGGAAATGTCTACAAACCAAACTAACCTTGAACATGGTACAGAAATGATTGTTGCGGAAAAAAACACAGAGTTCACGTTCTTTAAGACCCTCTTGCAAGCGAAAGAGACTGTAAGATATGATCAATGATACATGTAAGATAAGAGCAGTGTAGTCAACGAAAGAATATAACTTCTCAACAATTAATAAGACCACGAACCCACAAAAGGTTAATTGACTGGCACTATTCTTCAAAAAGTTCCTGATTAGTTCACCTGAAAAGAACAAATCATTTAATGTTGCAAAAATATATATATGGAAACATGTGAATAGAGAACGTCTCTATCTACAATGGCATGCATGTATGAGTTTCCCAAAAATTATTTCAAGCATATCCCAAGTAGATCAGATAGAGTTTTACCTTCTTCTGCAGTGAGCCCATCTGTTGTCCTCCCTTCAGAAGAACAATCACCAACATTCTTCCCAACCCTTTTACCAAGAAGGGACTCACCTTCATAAACAGGTTCTTTTTCCGCACAAACTGGAGCCACTGTGTTTACACATTCCTCACCTTCATACATAGGTTCATCGGTAGATATGGGGGAGGTAACAGCATTGGGTACATCGTCATGGTGAGATGTGCAACTAATATCTGGAGATGCAATGGGCATTTCCGTGAGAATTTTTGTATCTAATATATTCAGATGCAATCTTAGCCAATACAAGTATATAAGATGCAGTAGTAGTTTAATTATGTAAAGAGATATCTGTAAGGTTACTTAATTTATGAAAGAGTAAAAACTACCTGCTGCATCAGGCTTGAGTAGACTCTCCGAACTGTGTTCCGTTTTGGTGGACTCCATATTAGCCTTATCCACTGAGAGCCCCTCAGAAGAAGTTGCATCGACAATGGCCTCTTTGCTGCTACTCACGTTCTCAGCATCAAAAGCCGCTTCACATTCAGATTCCTTGGAAGATAACTGATCATGATTATGATCCTCACTTTTAATCGTAATTGATGTCGGAAATTCCCCAACTTTGATCATATTCCCATCTTTTTCTGATGCTTTATCGTCATCAGATTTGAACTGTTCTAGCTGACTGATATTAGTACAATGGGTGCTAGTTGGACTAGCATCTGAAAATGTGAACGCAGAGTCTTGATTGGTTGAGTCTTCGTGAGTGTTCGGAGCTGAATCATTCCCCTGCCCCTGTGATAACTGCAAAGCTTGTAACAATTCTGTTTCTTCTTCAAGGTCCCCCTTTCTCATTCTACGAAGCTCTGCTGCAGCAGGAGGAGATTCATCAAAAGATCTTGTTTTCGAAAGACATGGTGAAGGAACCCCTAAAGCTGCAGTAGTTGCCGCAGCAAAATCAACAGAATCTTCTCCAGGATTTTCATCACCTATAGCCTCTACATTCTGCGTCTCCAGTGCAACTAGCTCACCCATTAGAGCATTATATGACTTGCTGCCAATTGCATTAGCTGCTTCAACATCCTGTAGGTATGTACAGGGAAAGCAATTAAATCAATTCTTTGACTACAGACCAAGGATTAATAAAGACAGCATCTTAAAAGGAGTGCTCTTGACCACTGTTCCACTCCATAATGAGCCAAACAATGGATATAAAGAATAAAGTAGCCTATGTATGTTTCTCAACTCTCAAGATGATAAAAAAGAGAAGATGACCCCACATCTCAAACATCCAAACACAAAAGAAAAGAAAGAAAAAGAAAAGAAATGTCAACGGCCTATACTAATGAACAGATGGAACCATTCATATAAGGAATGAAACAAAATGATATACCTGGGGATCAACTATCCATCCATGATATAAGGGAATGTCAAGTAAATCAAATATTGCACATTCAGGTGTGAACTCAAAATCATCAATCCTGCAACCAGGTAAAAAAATCATGTTATCATAGGAATTTCGACATAGTAGAAGGAGAAACAGAGAGACAAAGTATTAACCTCCTGAATTTAATATTGACATCAATTCCAGTCGTAAGCCGTGGAAGAAGATCAATTGCATCAGCAATGTTCTGTTGCTGGTTCTCAATATATCCTTCATCTTTGTTCTGCCATTAAGAAATTTAAAAAAATTAAGTTCATCCACATAATAATCAGGCCATAAAGATATTATAAAGAACAGGCAAGAAGAAAAACCAGCTTATTACATTGACTTTACTATTGGAATCAATCAGTCTGTCGACCACGAGAGACATCAATCTCTCTTGAGAAACTTCATAACAGTCAGGATTCAGATTCAAATTGTTTCTCAAGAGCAGAACATTACCTGTTGCATCCAACAATCAATGAATTATGAAGCATACAAAATTTCAGAAGGTTTAACATCCAGATTAATACTCCCCTTAGCTAAAATTCTCACACTTAGAAAAAGTATCAGTCATTTCTACGAGAAGGTACCAGATGATCAGTACACTACGCATCAAATCAACGATTAGAGATAACAAAGCCAAAGAATACTCATTACATATTTACATTGTACGGAACCAGCAAACCTAACAACGATTCTTCAATTTTTTTTTTCACAAATTCCACAAAAATAGTAACGATAACATAAACAATCAACGATCTCATCACATCAATTCCACTATCCAAACCCCTAATTTGAAGTTTTCATCAACCCTAAGGTGAACGAAAATGGAAAAAAAAAAAGAAGGAAGGAACATACAAATTGCTAACAAAGGACAAGGTCCATTTTCGTTTTGGAGAATGATAGGAGTGGTTCGTCCAAGGAACTGAATCGATTTCGTCTTATACAAAACCTCCTCCGTACTAGTAGTAGGAGGAGGAGAAGTAGTAGTTTCCTTTGGCAAATCTTGTTGCTGCATCGCTTCTTCGTGATTTCTCTGCGTGTCTTCGCTCGGCGAGTCTGAAGGCGGAGGTGGAGATGAAGCGCTCGCCATTGATGATGATGATCAAACCAAATCCAAAAGTCAAATTATCGATCGAAGAAGAAGAGAGAAATGTTGAAATTTCCGAAGAAATGTTCTTTTTTTGTTTTCTGATCCAAATCGAAAGAGGAAGCGAGCGAGAGAGGAGCAAAATTTATATTTTTGAGAAAGAAACTTTTTTGGTGATATTGAAAATTAATCGCTTAATTAAACCGGTATGTACCAAATCATTGATTCCGGTATGCAAGAAATTGCAATTGATTCGATTGCGTTACGGCATTTGGTTTAGGAAGAATGAAAAGATTATGGTTAGACCAATAAGGTTTGGGTTAACCAATTTTTTGGGTATCTTTAGTGCGTATTAGCTTTTGCCCTTTGGGGTAAGAGGTCAATTTAATTTCTTATCATAACAACGTCCGAAAAAGTCATCTTTTAATTATTTTTAATTCATTTTTAAAATATTAATAACCAGAAAAATCTCTTGAAATAATCCATTAAAATTTTCTTGATACGATCATTTACACAAGAATTTAGTAAGTACATCACGCGTATTTTTATTACAGTCGTACACGTTATTTTTCAAATATTTATTTCACTTTAAAATAAACATATATTTAAAATTAAAAGTATAACACAAAAACAAAAAAGTTTATATAAAAGTACTTTTATTATGTTTCTTTACACTAACAAAAAGAAAATAATAAATAATCAGTATCCAAAATAAAATTTCTTCGACAACTTCATTAACTTGAAAGCTTATGAGATTCATCAAATTAGGTTTGTTGGTAGATATAGATTTTAATAGATATCTTGAGAAGAAGATTCAAAAACTCTAGCTAATAAATCACAAGTGACAAGTCACATACAACTATACAAGTACCCTCATACAACTACAAGCATGCAAATCCAGTCAATGTGTTAATGTTTGGTCCATTTGTAGCAAAAAAACCCAATGGGCCATTTGCTGATGACAAGTAAATGGGCTGTAACTGAAAAGCAAAAAAAACCCAAAAGGCCATTTGAAGCCTAACCACTCGTCTAGGTCTCAAGTTTCTTCTGACCTTCATTTTTTTTTTTTTTTTGGAACACACATGGTTAAGAACTTAAGATACAGTATTACGTTATAAATTATTTCACAAACAGCTTCTATAATTTCTTTGATCTAATCAAGTTACTTTAGCATTTGTCTTATTCACAGTAGAAACTAGAAGTCCTATATTTTCTCTACGTTTGTTAATGTCTTGTTATATATGTACTTCTTTACACTAACATATACATTCAAATGCAAAAATAACAAGTACAACAAGTCAACAACACATGCCTAAATGAAATAACATAATGTCTCCCTTATAATTTAACACACAATTAATGTTAGTTCTTTGATTTAGTTTATCCTATGTGTTAGCTATATTAATCAAGCTTAATCTATGATAACTTTAATCACTATTTCATGGTCCTTAGAACGCTTTAGTATTTTAGTTTTGGACTTTTGGAGTCATTCAAGTATACCAAAACTTGTAAACATGCTCGATGAAGAAACAATCATGCATGCGGCTTCTTATAATTACCATATATTTTCATCTATAATTTCTATCATAGTAACCACAAGAAAGAATCAAAGGTCTTATATACTTTTTTCTCCCAGCATTCATAGATATCTTATTAATCATTTTAAGCATTTGGTTTGTTCTATTCTTATAATCTTGTAAGTTTTTTTTCTTGCACCAACCTTACTTTAATTGTAAAAAAAAGACATCTAATAAAAAGACTCATTTATTTTATACCTGGCATACATAGTGTGGTCCAAAGGCACATTTTCATAGTGGTCCAAACCAAAACCACATTTTCTAGCCTACCACACGAAGGTCGAAATCATGGTTTGGTGACTCTTTGACATGGAAAACGTTAACACTACTAATTCAACTTTGTCCATAAAATAAAACTCATTATAGCACAAATATCGCTTAAAACATAACAATCACGACTTGTCTAAGTTTACAAACTTAAAGATGATGTGAAGAAACTTATAATTTTTAAAAAGATGGGATATTTTTCACATAAGAAAACAAAGCCATTAAGCCTAATAAAAAATGGAGTCTCCAAATCATATTTATAGCAAAAGCTTATACAAATAGCATGTTGTGGGCAAGTGCTTGTGGTCCTCACAGCGTGCAACACCTGTAATCGAGTCACAAAAAAGATATGAATCAGAATAAATTCTAATTAATTGGGAAAAAATTAAGGCATCCAATAGTGGCTAAGCACCTGCTTAAGTGCTTAGTAGAACAATAATTACAGTATTAAAAGAATATAAAATTTGGAGAAGAATAAAGTTAAATTATTTTTTGAGGGAAGTGGGTAGAAGAAAAATTAGGAATGCACCAAATAAGGGAGATGAGTGGCCATGTGAGGGTCGTGTACGGAAGTCATAAAACGTAGCATTTGTTTTATTGGTTTACTTACCACTGGCATGGTGCTGCGTATATAAGAGTGTGGGTTTTGCTTTTAATAATATGCTCGTACGAACGAACATATATGTCCACAGATTTAATAATGTATATCAGAAATAGTAAGAAATTTTTATTTTGGAATTCTGTGCTTTATATGTATTGTTTTCATGATTCAACTAATTTTATTGATAACCAAGATAAAAAATAGAATGTATAATTAAAATACAATGCTCGAAGAAAAGAAAACTAAAGCCAACAAACAAAATATTATATTTTCGATTTAAAATTTTCCGGAGTTTAATTAGGCCTTCGAAGGAAACGGAAAACTTTGAAACCACAAAACGCAAAAACTTAAAAAATCTTTTTGCTAAAGTGAAAAACTCAAAGCTAAGATGAAAGAGGACGAATTCTTAGATTAAAAACTGAAGTAATTAGACTAAAACCCTACAAAAATATTTTCTTTATTACTTTTTATTTGTAGGAAATGATAAAATTAATTGTGTTTTACAAAACTCACCCGAAGCTCATATTTTGTGACTAATTACATATCATATCATATCATATATATATCCGAGTAAATCACTTGTTCTTCGCAACCAAAGCTATACGTCATCTCTAATACAAAAGAAAAGAAAGTATTGTGAATAGAATATGATTTATTCCATTTTCTTTATATATAAGTGTGAGTAAACATGGTGACATATCCAAATTATAAGAAAGTATTGTGATTTGTACGTGAGTAGTATACAGTTCAAAAATGGAGATCAAACGGGACGAGAGAGCGTGAGGAAGATTCTTGTCCGAGAGGAGCTGGCAACCGACAGGGTTGCTGCCTGTCTTTAAGTGCATTTGCTTAACTCACTTTGACAGACACCACCGGATCTATAGGTTGTGTCGGTAATAATGCAAACGTGTCATCACCTTACCCGTTACCATGTTGTTATATATACGTCTTCTTATTACAGTGATGAGGTAAGTGATGTTATTATAGTAACTAGGTTCGGACCCGCGCTACAGCACGGGGGAAATAATTACATATATATAACTTTTATCGGATTAGAATATGTTACATTTTAATTTTGTTAGAGTGCAGTCGATTACGGTAAATCATATATTTGTATAATAAGTTTAAATAAAATAATAAAGGAAAAACCGAGTAAATAATCATATACTGAGTTTTGATACAATTAAAAACACGGTGAAAATTTAACAGCACGAAATAATATTTGTCGATAAATTATTCATTTTGGCCATTTTTGTAGTAAAAGTAGGAATATACATAAAAATTACATATTTACAATATATTTTTTGAAAGTCCAACCCGTAACAGAATTCATTTCGTAAAAAATATTATTCGTAACTCGTTTTATCATTATAATTGTGATTTTAACAAACTACCCGTGAATTATCTAAAATTTACATATTTTGATATATAATATATTTTATCAATAAAAATTATGTCTCCAAAATTACATTTATATCTTCAAAAAAATATTTCGATATTTTAAATTTTAAAAGTTTTATATATTTAAACCTTTTATTTATAATATTTTGAAACTATTTGAAATATTAAATATGCTCATGTAACAATGGTTTTAATATTGGTCATACTTATAATGATTTTAAACCGTTGTCCAATATATTTAACCGAGTGTAGTTGAGTATTATATGTCCGTTTTGAAAAATTCAAATTGCAACATATGCAAAAAAAATTTAAATTTTTATTAAATATTTATATTATATAGTATAATATCATAAATTAAAAATAATATCAAATAAAAGTGAAAGAAGAATAATATTTTTTAAATAGATTGTATTAAATTAGTTAGAGAAATATTAGTAAATCTTATAATTAATTATGGAAATAATACAATCCTAAAATTAGATTTGGAAAGTATCCGGTGTATGTATCCAAACCCATTAATCTATCCAATTTTAAAAGATCCAATTACAAATTTCGGGTAATTTTTTGAAATTGACCCGACCCGGAAGCATTTTTGTACTTCTCTTTTACTAATATAGGGATCACTAATCACTGGAATCGCAAATATAATAGCACTTTGAGACGGTTTCAGCAAATCACTTTTTCTAAACTTTACTTTTAAGAACAAACTTTAAAAAATCCATATTCGTCGTAGGAAAATTAATTTATCTTAATGCCTAGTTTCTTTTGTAGAGTCTTTATATATTGTAAATGTGTATGCAATTATGTAACGCTAAGTAAAAACTAGATACCATATAACGATTATAATAAACATGCCTTATTGGAATATATTCTCCACCAAAATTGTATGCTCTTATAATATATAAATTTTTACCAAAAGAAGAATGGATATCTTATAATGCTGTTTCTATAATTAACTATACCCATGTACTTTAATTAAGCACTTTGGTCTAGGGTTATATATATAGACTATATCATATAGGTATATAGAAAAATAATTATGGCTATGGATTAGAGTATATATATAACCCAATAAACCCCTCAAATTATAGATTATCATTTTACGGATAGAGGAATAACTTAAAGTTTTTTTTTTCTCTTCACATTTTGTTGTCATTGGCTCCTGATTTCATAAAATTTAGGGTTTCCAAGAATTCTCCATTTCTCTCTTGCCGACTCTTCCCCAAAGACTCTCTCTCTCGTCTCTCTCCTTCATCTTTCTCTTAGAGAAACAAATCAATCAAAAGCATACACAAAAAGAAAGAAGGTAATCTTTTAATTTCCTCAACTCTATCTTAGCCAAATTTCTAATTTGATATATCTCTATTTACAGTAGAAGGTGTTATTTTTCTTGTTCTTGTAGTAATTAAGAAATCTTTCTCTATAAAGTTCAATAATGGCTTCCATCTACTTTTAATTGAAATCAAGTAATTTTTTCATTTAATTTCTCATGGATATAAAGAGAAGGAAATATTCAAAATTAAAAAGTGTTGATGATGATGATGAATTAGGGTTAACTGTAAAGCAGGAAGATGGTGAGGGGAAAGACAGAGATGAAGAGGATAGAGAACGCGACGAGCAGGCAAGTGACTTTCTCAAAGAGAAGAAATGGACTTTTGAAGAAAGCTTTTGAATTATCAGTCCTTTGTGATGCTGAAGTTGCCCTAATCATCTTCTCTCCTCGAGGCAAACTCTATGAGTTCTCTAGCTCCTCCAGGTATATTTATCACCTTCATAGCTTTTATGTATTTGCTCATTCGCTATATATCTTGATCCGATGCATCAAGATCAATTTTGTTTTTTTTTGTTCATGAATAATTTACTAAATTTCATGAATAGTTTTGTCTATCACCATATATATATTTTTTCCTAGACTCTATTGATATAATTGGTCTGTGCGTGTTAAAATGAAGATTCTTAATTTTAAAGAGAAAGCCAGGATTCGAGACTTAAAACGTGGTTAGCACATGGTTTTATCTTGGAAATGTAAAGTAAAGTTTGTAATTTGTTTATGAGATAATTAATTTGGACAAACTGACAAAAAAAATTCCAGTTAAATAAAAAACAAGAAGCTAATAAGTATGAGCGTACAGTGTTCTTACTCAAATTAGGCAATAAAGTCACAAATCATATTAGCTAGATTCCATTTTCATCACTTTCATATTTAACCAGATTTGGGAAAAAAATGTTTCCTTCTTTTAGAGGTGCATGTGTTTCCCTATATATATACTTGTTCTTGTGTGTCTTGTACACTTATTACTACTGTGTGTTTCCCTACACACACACACACACATCGCATTCATGTTTCGATAAGTATATATACTAGTTAGAATTACGTAGTGTAAACACTCAAGCACATGTATTATGTACGTATAGTTGAATATATTGATGTATTTGCAAAGTTTTGTTTCTGAATATGATCAGATATATGCATGATTTTGGTTATATTTTGTAATTTGAATGAATGGTTTTCACACTAGTCAATTAATAATGATGAGATTTGAGTATTCTGATGTCACTGGAAGCCAAGTATTGTATAGTATATATCATGTACATTTCATTTATAGGTACATACATACATACTTGAACAGCTAGGTATGATTATGATATATCTTATATATTTATTATACGCGAACATAACTATGTAATATTTACTAGAATAAAATGGGAATCAATGAAAAACTTGGTGAAAAATTTATGTCCCTTTTGAAACTCTTTTTTTTTTTTTTTTTTTGTAAATATATATTGGTCGATAAATAGCTGGCCAACGTATGTTTCTTTAATTTCTTCTTGGGCAAAGAGAAATTTCTAAACCAAAATCGAAAATTTGAAAAATACTAAACGTTTTTATTTTTCTTATATAGTCTGCATTACCACTAATACCGGTTAGATCCAAACTTTATTCAACCATTCTCATATATAATTTGTAGAATGTGTGTGTATATGTGGATGCATGTATCTATGTACATATAAGATCTCTATGTATGTTTATGGTGGTAACACAGACGCATTTGCCACACTTTTCACCCACAGATAGTACAAAGGCCACTCTTTATATCAGTGATGACAGTGAAGGAGTCATTTAGCATGTGTCTAGATCAGAATATGTTGATTCTTTCTATGCTTTCTCTATTTATTTATAGTTTTTTCTCTAGTTATAATATGTATATTGTACGCTTATATAACTATGTGTACTTTATTAGACAATTTTTAAGAAGAGGGGGTTAATATCACAATTAACTAGGTGTTATTAATCACGTACCTACCTGTTAACCAGTTTCGTTATTACTTAATTAAGCCATATACATGACTAGACGGTCTCTTTGATTTTGTTTCAACATGTATATTATCTTTTAGTTATTAATACTTTTACCACATTATAATACTTCTCAAGATCAGCATAATTAGATTTGTATAAGTTTTATTAGGTCAAAATATATATGTAAAGGTTATATGTATTCCTTAAAAAATTATATGATAGATACATATATAATACTTTTGACTCTCTGTGTTTATTAGAATAATAGGTTTGGGGTGAAATATGTTATGTTTTAATTAGTGTTTGAGAAATATATATAGCTTAGACTTTTGCTTCTTGATATCATTTTCTTTGGTTTTCAAGTACTGATTAGATTTTTGAAAATTTCAGTATACCAAAAACAGTAGAAAGATATCAAAAGCGAATACAAGATCTTGGGTCTAACCAGAAGAGAAATGATAACTCACAGGTAAACCAAACTTTCTATGACATACTTGTTAATGTATCATGGTCATTATTCATTTTTAATTTGCATTTAACATGATCAAACTTTGTTGACAGCAATCGAAGGATGAAACCTATGGCTTGGCGAGAAAGATTGAACATTTGGAGATTTCGACAAGGTTTTTGAATACAAAACATTTAAGAATATTTTTGTTATGATATGTAAACTTAGACATCATTGTAAGTTTTTTTTTACCCATATATATGAATACATTTGCAGAAAAATGATGGGAGAAGGACTTGACGCATCTTCGATAGAGGAGTTACAACAATTGGAGAATCAGTTGGACCGAAGCTTACTGAAAATAAGAGCCAGAAAGGTAACTTACCATATATGTAATGATCATGCACACACTTAGAGAAATTATCATGTGCAACATGCATGCACAAGTGATGATAAAAGAACCTCATATGTTATCTTTTATATATGAGTCATTTTTGTTGTGAAGATATCTATTATTAGAGTTCTTAAATACTTGTTTTACCGACTAATTTAGCTATTTTATTTCTTAATTTCAGTACCAATTATTACGTGAAGAAATTGAGAAGCTAAAAGAAAAGGTAACACTTGTAGTTTTTTTGTATAATTATATGTATAAAAATGTATTACTTAGGTATTAATTAAACTGTAAAACCATATTTTTTCGGTTTCTTGTCAATATTTTAGGAGAGGAGCCTCATTGCAGAAAACAAAATGCTGATGGAGAAGGTACTGATTATGTTCTCTAATTCTTAAGTAATTATATTTTTTATTTGAGTTTTAAAGTTGAGTTAATGTGTGAATATAATGAAGTATGAGAAGCAAGGAAGAGGAATAACAGCAAGAACACCATCATCATCAACATCATCAGAACTAGACATAGACAACAATGATGAAATGGAAGTGGTGACTGATTTGTTCATTGGACCTCCTCCTGAGACTCGACACTTCAAAAAATTTCCTCCTCCAAATTAACGTATAGTATATATATTTGCTTATAAACATTCACCATGAAAAGATTAATATCTCACAACTTTACATATTATATATAGGGAATTCATATTTTCCCTGCAAGAAAAGTTTATGTTGATGATTACTGTATTTAACTTCTTCTTCCTTATTTTTTTTTTGTCTTTTGTATCCTCTAACAACTTTGAAAATCCAAAATAAATTCACAACACATTAGTTTATATATAGCTATCTATATATACCATAATTAATTCCTTGACATGTTTTTTTTCTGGAATGGTGATTATTAGGAAATTATAATTTTAAAATAAAAATTTCATAATATTAATTTGCTGTAAAAAAATATTACTATTAACTTTTATCTTCTTGTAAACAATATGGTGTGATTAAAAATAATACACTTATTAGATGATCATACAAATATTTTTACCAAAAAAGTATTGTTATTTTTCATCGTGGTTCAATTTCTGTCTGCGTTGCTTCATTTGTGGAGAACGCGTAGTCAGATGACGATGCTAACTGTTGATCACTGGTCAATACGTTTGAGAAGGTTGGTTGTTTTGGAATTGGGAGATTTTGATCGTTGCTCAACATATACACGATTTGCGATATTGTTGGTCTATCTTTAGGATGATCTTGAACACAAAGAAGTGCTATGTGAATGCACCGCATCACTTCTTCTAAATCATTCGAACCACACAATGCTTTATCTATAATGCTTACACCTTTTGTTTCACACCAAGATTCCCATGCCTGAAGATGATCAAGAACATATATTTTGGGTTTGATCTAAGCTAAGTTACTTGTTATTTATTAATAGAAATAGATGATATTGAACAATAGAAAAACTTACATATGCAATAAGGCTGTGTTTTTGGTCGTTATGAAGAAACCTTGTAGCCTTTTCCCCTGATATGATCTCCAATAACAATACCCCGAAGCTATATATATCCGATTTCTCTGAAATCATTCCGCCTAATGCATATTCCGGTGCCATATAGCCGCTACAATTAAACCAATGATTTAGGTTTTCAAACATCATTTATAAATTGTAAAGACAAAGATACCATTTTAATGTTTGTCAATATTGTTTGGTGTGTCTAAATAAAAAAGTACCCTTTGAAACAAATGAAACAATTGAACTCATAGGAGATGTACACTCACAATGTTCCGACGATTCTTTGGGTGCTATCATCGATTTGCTTGACACCAAAGATCCTGGCAGTTCCAAAATCCGAGATCTTAGGATTCATATCATCGTCGAGAAGAATATTGCTTGCCTTAAGATCTCGGTGAATGATCCTAAGACGTGAGTCCTCATGCAGATATTGAAGTCCTCTTGTTGTCCCATTTATTATTTTCATACGGGTCTCCCAATCCAATTCCCTAGATTTTAAAGAGTCTATATATATGTACCCCAAAACAAAAATGTCATGTCACATTTGAAATTAATCAAAGAGTAAATATATTTAACACTCACCAAAGAGTAAGATGTCAAGGCTCTTATTAGACATGTACTCATAAATTAGTAGCTTCTCGTCGCCTTCAACACAATATCCTAAAAGCCTCACCAAGTTCTTGTGTTGAAGTTTTATGATCAAAACTACTTCATTCTTGAATTCTTTCATACCTTGACTTGATTTTTTTGAAAGCCTTTTGATCGCCACATCCATCCCATTTGCAAGCTTACCCTAGCGTACAATTAAAATCACTTCAATCAAAATTTCTATAGTATATAAGATTGTAACCAAGCTGATATTCAAACTAGCTCTGTGAACATTTTAGGAACTATTTGTATAGAACTTTAGCAGTATTAATCGTATTGTTTAGTAAGTACCTTGTAGACCGGGCCAAAACCACCTTCTCCTAACTTTTTTTCCTCAGAGAAAGAATTTGTCGCAGCCATTATGTCATGTAGATTCAGGTAACACATATTTTCTCCATCATCATCAATTAAGCCACCTTCTAATAGCTCTCTGCTCTGTTTTTCCTCTGCGTATAACTCGTATTTCAGAAATTAGTGAACAAATCTTAAAGAGTGGCATGAAAAATTTATGTAAATTTCCAAAACCAATTGTCCCACCTGTTTGTGTTCCTTTTCTTCTTCTTGTTGAAGAAATATAACAATACAAACCTACCAAAAGTGCAGCACCAGCTGCTACTAGCAATGACAGTACAATGGGTAACACAAGGCTTATGCCTTCAGAATGTTCTGTTTTTCCTGAGTAAAAAATGACGCTTAGAAATGTGTCAACATATTTTTCTCATTTATTATCGAAAATGATGCTTACCCTGGTTTGAAGTTGTAGTTGAGATGTTTGACAATGGAGGTGAGATGTTTGACGCTTTAGGTGAGATGTTTGAAGATGCAAGTCTAAGAAAGAATGTGTTTCCCTCATTTGCATCGAGTTGTTGAAGATTGAAAGCGTTTCTTGTCCACATTAAACACTTGTTGTTGTCCAACGCGTAAGCCTGGCAAGAACAATTAGCTAGGCAAGCTGAAGCACATGTGGTAACAAGACTTGATGTCAAGATCAACGTTATTGGATCACTGGCTAATTTAATGTTCTTAATAGGAACAAACTTGTCATTTCCCTTGCCACATTGAAGCTTGGTTTCCCTTTTACAACCACCAGAAAAATCATTCACGTCGTCCCATCCTTGGCGAACTACTCGTTCGAAACCAGGAACACATCTACAAGGCATCTCCTTTTGGTTTTCATTGCAAATCCCAAACGATCCACAATAATTGTAAACCTCACATTTATTTTCAGGTTGAGACCATGTCGTTTCCCAAACCTGGATATCGGCATTCCAAATGTGCAGCCCGAGCTGCCCCGAAACATCTATGACCAAACGAGCTATGCTATCGGGATAATCAACTACTGAATATGTAATGTAAGACTCATCCACATTCAGTTTGAAACTAACCGTATCTGGAAAATTCTTGAAAGCTCTAAGTCGAGGATCCCATGGTCCACTCGACCAATATGACTTTGATCTATTCCAAACCGTTATAAGGGAGTTTGAACGATGGTCAAACTCGAGAGAGTATCGACCCGGTGATGGATCTGTCAAGCCTTTCCAAGAAGTGAGACGTTGGTCTCTCAATTTGAGTTTAGCGACTGGAAGCCAAGTATCCGAAGGATGATCAAAGCTCTGCCACAACACAGCTGCGGAGGAAGAAGACACATCTCTCAAGACTAGATTACCATTATCAAGCAAAACAGCTTGAACATCCTTGCCCTTACTAGAGTTAACACCGGTTGACCAAATTGCTCCATTGTATATATTGTTATGGAGAATTAAGTTTCCATTTGAGATATTCAAAAAGCAGTTATGAGAATCTATCCCTCTGGCAGGAGATTCTCGATTCGCGACCCAAACAACCGTCCGTGGAGAGGATTGCCTGTACCACATGCCTATGTAGAAGTTTCCATATATACCTGGAGTTGGGTTGAAGATACCAAGTTCGAAAATATCACCACTGGAAACAAGCGTGTCAAATCTTGGAAGAGGTTGATTGGTAGAGATGATGGTTTTAGTAGAAGAATAAACATGTGAAACTTGAAATGACAAGAACATCAAGACTCCGTAGTATACGAGTAATACAGTCTTCTTGCAAGTCTCCATGGTCGTGTGACCGTAAGTTCTCGCTTGAAGATAATGAAAAATGAAGTTATAATATGGCAGTTACATAACGACGAAACTTCTTGACCCCCAAGAGTCAACTCACTTGGACAGAGTTAGAGCTGTCAATCGGTCCGTCCACCGCCCATTGGACGTGTCCATACGTACAGATTTATTTATGGGCTTTTTCTGCACGGGTCAAAATGGATACGGGTCTAAACTGTGTTCACGTACAATAAAGATCATGTCCAGATGGACATGCCCATGGACATCCTACTTTTATTCTTATTATTTTTCTTCTTAACATCTGAATTGAAAGATGAATTTTTATATTCTATATTTTATACTATTATTTTTTATTGAGACTTTAATTATGATTATCTAAAGATTAACATATTAAGTTATCCAAAAAATTTTATTTTCTATATTATTACTTTTAATTTTCTATACTATACTATAATTTTCTATAATAATATAGAAAAAAAATTATTTTCTATATTATTATTTTAAAGAGACGAAGAAGAAGATTTTTGTTTTTACCCAAAAATTTTAAACCCTAGATTTTTTAAACAACTGGGCTGTCCACTGTCCATCTGGGTTTGTCCAACATGTCCGCGGACAAATGAGCCTTTAGCCCAATTGGCCAAAGTTTTGTTTGGGCGTGTCCATGGTCCGTCCGTAATCGTTTGGACTGGACAAACCCACGGACGGCCCGCCCAATTGACAGCTCTAGACAGAGTCCAGCGCAACTTCCACTAAAAGGAAAATAAATCGAACCTATCAATTTTTGAGGGAGTCCACTAGAGATTTAAAACAATCAATTCGGATAATCTATCTCAATATTTGTACATTTTGAAATTATAATAGTTTCTATATTAAGACATTTTGTAAAAAAGAACAAAACAATGTATTAACGTGTAGAGACATACAATTGTTTATTTATATTCATTATTATATAATTGTTTATCTTTTTGTCTGGTTTTATTTGTATTCTTTGTAAAATATAAATTAACTGTATTTTTTAAAATATTAATGAATGATTCTTTCCGTAATCTATTGATTATTCATTATTGTCGTCTCGTCGTTATTCTCAGCTCATGGATTTATTTTGAGAAGATATTATTCTTTTTTATTTTATTAATAATCTATATTTTTGGTTTTATCTATTATCGTTTGTATATTATTGGTTACTGTTGTGAATTGTATTACTTGGACAAGTAGATATTGTATGTGATCTACACGATTGCAAGTTACTTATAGGTTATATAACTTTCAAGTTTCAAGTTATTAGCTGTAGTTGTTTTCTCTCTACAAAGAAGAGCCCGATGATGAATATGGTATCAACGTCGACATTCACACATTACATTTTCTTTGATTTGTATCTTTTCTTACAAAGACAAGGACATCATGTTTGATTTTTGGAAGGAAGACAGTTCTTTCAGAAGAAAATGGAACAGAGCATAAGGAGAATTGTGCACATTAAAGTTACTTGCCAAGAAGACTCTTGATGTGTTCTCGACGCCTCTTAAAAATTGAAACAAGTTCTTAAGGTTAAAATTTTGTATCATTCACAAGAGTGATTGGTTAAGAATCAAACCTTTTGTTAAACGCTTGCCTTGACCGATGGAGAAACATTTTGGACATTGTAGCTCTGCTTAAGTGCTCTGTTAATTTGATCTTGTTTTCTTGTGTTTGTACCGATATCAAGTAAAACCCATATAGGACATCGAGCACTATCTATGACATTGTTTACTGGTGAGAGATCTTGTCTCTTACAAAATAATATCATCTTTTAAAGAATACTCTGAGAGTGAGAGTCACATAAGCATTTTTACTAAGTACATTTATCAAATAATACATAGGATAAAAACATTTTTGCCAACCAAGTATTGTTAATGTTCATCGTGCTTCCAGTTCAGTTTGTGTTAATTCGTTTATGGAGAACTCGTAGTCCGACAACGCTAACTGTTGATTACCGTTCAACACATTTGAGAAAGTTGGTTGTTTCGGGATCGGGAGAATGTTATCGTTGCTCAACATATAAATGATTTGTGAAATCGTTGGTCTATCGTTAGGATGATCTTGAACACAAAGAAGTGCGATGTGAACACACCGCATCACTTCTTTTTCGGAATACGCAGCCACACAGTGCTTCATCTATGATGCTTAAACCTTGTGTTACGCACCAAGTTTCCCATGCCTGAAGTTAATCAAGAACATATATTTTTTTGGGTTTGATCAAATCTAAGTTACCTCTTTTTGATGATAGATAAATGATTTTGGGATATAAACACTTACATAAGCAATAAGGCTGTGTTCTTGGTCGTTGTGAACAAACCTTGTTGCTTTTTTGCCTGATATGATCTCCAATAACAATACTCCAAAGCTATATATATCTGATTTCTCTGAAATTATTCCGCCTAATGCATATTCCGGTTTGTGTAACAAATTAGTCAGCCAATCACTGTGGCTCACGAGAAGGTTAGAGGAAACTACCGAAAAGGATAATAAATGGGTTAAGAAATAGAAGAAAAAAAGAACTATTTCGAGCCACAAAATTTCATAAAAAGACCAATAGTATAGAAGAAAACTATAATATTACTGTTAAAATATTATATTTATTCCAATTAAAAAAAACAAATGAAAAAGAATATTAAAATATCCAAAATGAGTAACAGAAGTCAATGTCTGAATAATAGAAGTCAAGGTCAACTTATTGGACTAAGTCCAACTGTTGAACAAATAACTTGTCTAAGAAGTTCTTCTTTCTTCTTTGGATTATATACTTGGTTTGATGGAAACTGTGAGAGACTGTCTTCTTCTTCGTCTTCGCTATGGCCGTTGCTTTGCTTCTCAATCGCGTTTTCCGGCGAAGAAAGAAGAAGTCTACTGAGTCTATAAGCAGTAAGTATTCACATTCACGTACGTTTCTACAATTTTACCTCTCAGTTCTCTTATCTGATACAAAACCCACAAAATTTATGTTTAATTTGGTTTGCAGCTTATGCAGTTTACGAATTCGATTTCGACACTATTAAAGCTGCAACAAATAAGTTCTCAAATCTGATTGGTCGTGGCGGATTTGGTTCTGTTTACAAGGTTGTCTCTTTAATCTCTTACTAATTCCCCTATACGTACGTTTTCTTAGTACTAATTAGGAATTTTGGATCCGTTTATCATAGGTGTGAAATTGTAATTAAAACTTCCTTTTCAATTATTTTTCAGGGTAGGCTTCAAAGTGGACAAGACATAGCAGTGAAGATATATTTTACAAGTTCAATCAGAGCTGAGAGAGAGTTTCATAATCAACTTGATATTTTGTCAAAGCTTAGGCACAAGAATCTTATCAATCTTCTTAGTTTCTGCACTAAACGAGACCAGCATTGCCTTGTTTATGAGTTCATGCCTAACTCAAGCCTTGATCGTTTTATACTAGGTTAAACAGTCTAAAACAGAGTATTCTTTCCAAATCCAATCACGTCTAGTTTCTAATTCTCATCATTAGTCATTGTGGTTTATATGTTACAGATCCACATAGAGCTTCTCAGCTAAGTTGGGAGATGTGTCGAAACATTGTTGATGGCATAGCTTGTGGTTTACGTTATCTTCACGAAGAATCCGGGTCATGGGTTGTTCACCGCGACATTAAACCTAGTAAAATTCTATTGGATTCAGATCTAAAACCGAAGATCGTGGGATTTGGATTGGCAAGGATGATGCAACAAGGTCAAAACGAAGCTGAATCAACTGAAATTGTTGGTACCGTGTAAGTGAAGTTTTGTGATTTAAGGGGCAATGTTTTGAAGATGTTTCGAGACTGATTCATAAAACGTTTTGAAATATTCTACAGAGGGTACCTAGATCCAGAGTACATGCGAAGCGGACGTGTTTCTGTCAAATCTGATGTTTATGCCTTTGGAGTTACAATCTTGACGATCATTAGCAGAAGGGAGGTTTGGAGTGTGGATGGAGACACTCTAATCGAATATGTGAGTTTATATTTAAGTAAAAGTGTTTATAATGGTTAAGTGGTTCTTTAAACGTAGTTATTCTCTTCTTATATAGGTTATGAGATGCTGGAACAGAGGAGAAGCCATCGATGTGATCCATGAAGTGATGAGAGAAGAAGAAAGAGAAGACTCGATTAGCGAAATCTTGAGATACATTCACATTGCTTTGTTATGTATCGATGAGGATGCAGAGACAAGGCCGAGTATTGATAAGGTTCTTCATTGGTTTAGTTGTTTCTCTTCTCCTTTGCCTGAACCATTCATTGGTAATCGGTTTCTTGCAGAGGAAGAAACATATCGGTCTTGGTCACTGTCTTTATCTCCTGGTCATAGCTCTCTCATGTCACCCATATCTTCACGTTAACGAGATTGAGCATGATCGTATAAGATTAGCTCTGCTTGAGTGCTCTATTTATAAGACTAGTGAGAGTTTATAATGTGAATAACTGAGAAATGATCACGTAATTTCCTGTTGTTTTCTTGAATTGATGCCATAATCCAAAAAACTATTTTCTTCTATTGTTTACTAATGACAGATCTCAAATCTTAAAAAAAAAAAAAAAAAATTTTTAAAGAACACTCCAGTTTAACTAATTAAACCCACTTACCACAAACGAGGATCCAACATATATTTTTATTTCAATGTTTTGTAATGACAAATATGGAATCTTACACAATACAAAAAATAGAATAACTTAGACCATCCTCAATGCAGAGCTCTTAGAGCATTCTTATGTTAATTTAGCATTAAATAAAAATCAAAATACACTTAAAACCTAAGATATGTTATATTATATAAGAACAAAATATAAGTAGAAGAGGCTCAGTTTTCAATTAAATTATTAAACAAATAATAAGATCAATTTTAATAGTCTTGCATTGATGATGCTCTTATAATTAAGCAATAGGAATATTTTTACCAACCAAGTATTGTTTTGTTTCATCGTGCTTCAAGTTCTGTTTGTGTTACTTCGTTTATCGAGAACTCTACCTGTTGATCATCACCGTTCAACACATTTGAGAAAGTTGGTTGTTTCGGAATTGGGAGATTGTTATCGTTGCTCAACATATAAACGATTTGCGATATTGTTGGTCTATCTTTAGGATGATCTTGAACACAAAGAAGTGCGATGTGAATGCACCGCATCACTTCTTCTAAATCATATGAACCACACAGTGCTTCATCTACAATGCTTACACCCTTTGTTTCACACCAAGAGTCCCATGCCTGAAGATGATGATCAAAAACATTTATTTTGGTCTTGATATAAGGTATAAGTTTCTCTTTATGTGTATGGTAGATGATTGATATTGAACTATAGAAACACTCACATAAGCAATAAGACTGTGTTTTTGGTTGTTATGAACAAACCTTGTCGCCTTTTTACCTGTTATGATCTCCAATAACAACACTCCGAAGCTATATATATCAGACTTCTCTGAAATCACTCCACCTAATGCATATTCCGGTGACATATAGCCGCTGAAATAAACCAATGTTGAAAGTTAATCCTTAGGTTATTATTTTATTGTCTTTGCATTGATGTAAAATAGTGTACTTATATTTAACACAATGTTTTAGGTTTTTCAGACATCATTCATAAATAAATTGCAAAGACACTGCACGGAATGAAATTAAAAAACATTTTATGTTTGTGTCACAATATGTAAAACAATGTTTGAAAAGCCAATAATATATCAGTGTGAAAATACTGAGAAACATAAACTTAAACCCAAGATTTTAGCGTTTAAAGCAATTGAACACATACTGAGAAACATACACTTACAATGTCCCAATGATTCTTTGGGTGCTGTCATCAATTTGCTTGCAACCAAAAATCCTTGCAGTTCCAAAATCCGAGATCTTAGGATTCATCTCATCGTCTAGAAGAATATTGCTTGCCTTAAGATCTCGGTGAATGATCCTAAGACGTGAGTCCTCATGCAGATATTGAAGTCCTCTTGTCGCACCATTTACTATCTTCACACGCGTCTCCCAATCCAGTTCCTTAGACTTGAGAGAGTCTATGTGCCCAAAATGGAAATGAAAGAAACGTTGAGAAGACATATAAGAAGATATACTAATACTTATTGTTTCAAAATTTACAATTTTTTTTAGTTTTGAATTGATGATACTGGATCTCAACACTCACCAAAGAGTAATACATCGAGGCTCTTATTCGACATATACTCGTAAATTAGGAGTTTCTCGTCTCCCTCAACACAATACCCTAATAGTCTCACCAAGTTCTTGTGTTGAAGCTTTATTATCAAAACAACTTCATTCTTGAACTCAGTTAGACCTTGACTTGATTTCTTTGAAAGCCTTTTGATGGCCACATCCATCCCATTTGGTAGTTTTCCCTAACAATCAAGATTGCTTATCAATCAGTTTCTTTATTGTAAGATTGTAATCATACTAATTCAATTTCTTTATCCATCAAGAACTTCAGCTCAACCACATTATCTAATATACAAGCTCATGAGTACTAATAATATTGTTATCATTACCTTGTAGACAGGACCAAAACCACCTTCTCCTAACTTGTTTTCCTCAGAAAAAGCATTCGTTGCAGCCATTATATCATGTAAATTTAGGTTATTTATATGTTCTCCATCATCATCAATTATGCCCCCTTCTAATAGCTCTCTGCTCTGTTTTTCATCTGCCAAAAACTTATGTTAGAAACTTGTGAACAAATTTTGTAAAGTATGCGAAAAAGCCAAGACCAATCTAACCTCTTTGTGTTCTTTTTCTTCTCCTTCTTGAATAAATGCAACAATACAAACATACCAAAAATACCGCAGCAGTTGCTGCTAATGATGGTAATACAACAGGTAACACAATGCTTCTGCCTTTAGAATGTTCTGTTTTTCAAGAGAAGAAATATGAACGCTTAAAAATCAACGCATGTATCTCATTTGTTATTGAAATTGCATACCCTGGTTTGAAGTCGCAGTTGAGTTGCTTGAAGCTGCAAGTCTAAGAAAGAAAGTGTGTCCCTTATTTGCATGGTTCTGTTGTAGATTGAAGGCATCTGTTTCAGTTGTCCACAAAAAACACGTATTGTCATCATATGCGTAGGCCTCGCAAGAACAATCAGCTCGGCAAACGTAGCCACACTTTACACCAAGACTTTCTGTAAACTCCATTGTTATAGGATCAGTGGCTAATTTCATGTTTTCAATAGGAAGAAACTCGTCATTCCTCTTGCCACATTGAAGTTTGGTTACCCTTTCACAATCAGCAGAGAAATCATTCGGATCCTCTGCCAATACTTGTTGGAAACCAGGAACACATCTACATGGTGGTTGCTCTTTGTTGTCATCGCAAATCGCAAATGATCCACAATAATTGTAAACCTCACATCTATTATCAGGTTGAGACCATATCATTGCCCATGACTTGGATTCAACACCCCAAGCTTTCAGCATAAACAACCCCGAAACATCCATGACCAAACGGTATGTAATATTGGGTGAATCTGTTACTGAATAGGTAATGTAAGACTCATCCAAATTCAACTTGAAACTCAAGTCATCATAAGTTTTAAGTCTATCATCCCATGGTCCACTCGACGAATATGATAATCCATCCCAAACCGTGATGAGCGAGTGGGTTTTAGGGTCAAGTTCGAGAGAGTACTGACCAGGTGATGGATCCATAGAGCTCTCCCAAGAAGAGAGAAGACGACGTCCAAACTTGAGTTTAGCACCTGGAAGCCAAGTATCAGATGGATGATCAAAACTCTGCCACAACACAGGTGCAGAAGAGTTAGACCCATCTCTCAATACGAGATTACCATTATCATGCAGAACAGCTTGGACATCCTTGCTTCTACTAGAATTAACACCTGTCGACCAAACTGTTTGACCGGTGCTATTATCATAGAGAATTAAGTTTCCATCAAAGATCTTCAAGAAGCAGTTAGAAGTTGGAACTATGGAATCTCGATTTGCGACCCAAACAATAGTCTGTGGAGAGACTTGCTTGTACCACATGCCTATGTAAAAGTATCCGGAGGTACCTGAAAATAAAGGTACTCTGTTGACGAGACCGAGTTCGAAAATATCACCGCTGGAAATAAGTGTCTGAAATCCTAAAAGAGGTTGATTGGTAGAAATGGTGTCAGTTGCAAAAGAAACTTGACAAGACAAGAACATCAAGACTTCGTAGTACGTAAATAAAACATTCTTGTTGCAGATCTTCATGTTCGTAGAGCAGAAGTTACGTTTGAAGATAAGAGATCTATGTAGCAATTACATAATGACAGAGTCTTCTTATTGACCCTCGAGTCAACTCACTAGTGTACAACTTCTTGACCGCAAAGGAATCACTTATCACTATACTCTTCTACTTTTTCTTCTAAAAACAAATATCCTAAAATGAATTCTATTATTTTTGGTATTAATAGTATTAATAATAATATCAAGTTAATTTAATACATTTTACTTTTACAAACGTTGGAAAAAGAGGTTTTACTTTTTGCAGACCTTCCATAATTTTTTTGATATTATTAAAAGAAAAATAAATATTATTATTAAAACTGTATTGTATCATATAAAATTTGATTATTTCGGTTCTAAAATATATAATATCAAAAAATACAAAATATTATTGATAATTCTAGAAAAAATTATATTTTTAATTATTACAAATTATTATTTTTAATCATTAATTAAAAGAAAAAAAAAGTTAAATGATTACTTTGCAATTAAAAAACTTCATCTCTATTATCAAAAAAATAGTGTTCGTCTATTTACAAGAGTAAATAAGTGTGTTGAAATAGATTTTTGCTCTAAAAATAGAGATGAGTTTAGAGATATGCTTTAAGAGCAAACTAGCTTCCAAAAAAAGCAAGAATGATAAGAGTTTACATTATTTCTATAGCTTGAACAAAATTGAAATCTGAAATATAGTAGAATCTACAAATCTGAACATTAATGTTTAACAAAAAACCGAAATTCAGTAAACCCATATACGACAATACATGTTATAATATAAGGGATATGAACATTTACTAACCAAGTATTGTTATTGTTCATCGTGGTTCCATTTCTGTTTGTGTTACTTCGTTTATGGAGAACAAGTAGCCAGACGACGCTACTAACTGTTGATCACCAGCCAAAACGTTTGAGTAACTTGGTTGTTTCGGAATAGGGAGATTGTTATCGTTGCTCAACATATAAACAATTTGTGAAATCGTGGGCCTGTCTTTAGGATGATCTTGAACACAAAGAAGTGCGATGTGAACGCACCTCATCACTTCTTTTAAATCATACGAACCACACAATGCTTCATCTATAATGCTTACACCTTTTGCTTCGCACCAAGATTCCCATGCCTAAAGAAGATTATTAACAAATTTTTGGTTTGATCTAAGCTATAACTTGCTTCTTTTTTAATATAAATAGATGCTATTGAACTATAGAAACACTTACATAAGCAATAAGGCTGAGTTTTTGGTCGTTATGAACAAACCTTGTAGCCTTTTTCCCTGATACGATCTCCAATAACAACACTCCAAAGCTATATATATCAGACTTCTCTGAAATCACTCCGCCTAATGCATATTCCGGTGACATATAGCCGCTACAATTAACCTAATGTTTAGTTTTTGTTTTCTTCCAAATATCAATCACAATTTGTAAGAAAAGACAAACGGAATGAAAAAAAAAAAAAAAAAATACCATTTTCATTTTTATGTTTGTGTTTACAATTCTTAAATAATGTTTCTAAAATATAATGAAAATACTCATAAACATGAACACATATATAAACACAAAATTTTAGCATTTGAAACAATTGAACTCATAGGAGATGTACACTTACAATGTTCCGACGATTCTTTGGGTGCTATCATCGATTTGCTTGACACCAAAGATCCTGGCGGTTCCAAAATCTGAGATCTTAGGATTCATATCATCGTCGAGAAGAATATTGCTTGCCTTAAGATCTCGGTGAATGATCCTAAGACGTGAGTCCTCATGCAGATATTGAAGTCCTCTTGTTGTCCCATTTACTATTTTCATACGCATATCCCAATCCAATTCCCTAGACTTTAAAGAGTCTATATATATATACCCCAAAACAAAGCGTTGAGAAGTCACATATCAAAAGAATTTTAAAGTAATACTTAAGGTTTCAATTTCAAAATTTAGTAGGTTTTGATAAATATATTCACAACTCACCAAAGAGTAAAACATCAAGGCTCTTGTTCGACATGTACTCGTAAACCAGGAGCTTCTCTTCGCTTTCAACACAATATCCTAACAGCCTCACCAAGTTCTTGTGTTGAAGTTTTATGATCAAAACTACTTCATTCTTGAATTCTTTCATACCTTGACTTGATTTTTTTGAAAGCCTTTTTATCGCCACATCCATCCCATTTCTTAGCTTTCCCTGACAGTCAAAAGCAGTCAATTTATCTATTGTATGATTGTAACCACGCTGAAATATAAACTAGCCATGTGAGTACATGTGTGCACCATGTGAAACTGTAGTAACTACTTGGACTATAAGTTTATACAAACCACTTAACCACCTTATCTAATATACAAGTTCATGTTGAGTAATACTTGATTTCAAACTTTACTTGAACCATATTCAAGCTCAATACCAATCATAGACTTGCTACTTATCACCTTGTAGACTGGACCAAAACCGCCTTCTCCCAGCTTATTTTCCTCAGAGAAAGCATTTGTTGCAACCATTATGTCATGTAAATTTAGATAACTTATATGTTCTCCATCATCATCAACTATGCCGCCTTTTAATAGCTCTTTACTCTGTTTTTCGTCTGCGAAAACTCGTGTTTCAGAAACTTGCGAACAAATCTTGTAAAGTGAAAAGTTTATGCAAAAAGCCAAGACCAATCTGACCTCTTTGTGTTCTTTTTCTTCTTCTTCTTGAAGAAACGCAACAATAGAAACATACGGAAAACACAGCAGCAGCTGCTGCTAATGATGATAGTACAACGGGTAACACAATGCTTCTGCCTTTAGAATGTTCTGTTTTTTCAGAGTAAGAAAAATAAAGCTTAAAAATCAACGCATGTATCTCATTTGTTATTGAAATTGCATACCCTGGTTTGAAGTCGCATTTGCGTTGTTTGAAGCTGCAAGTCTAAGAAAAAATGTGTGTCCCTTATTTTCATGGTATTGTTGTAGATTGAAGGCATATCTTGTCCACATCAAACACTTGTTGCCGTCATATGCGTAGGCCTCGCAAGAACAATCAACTCGGCAAGCTGAAGCACATGTGGTGTTAAGACTTGGTGACATTACCAATGTTGCTGTTGGATCAGTGGCTAGTTTCATGTTTTCTATACGAAGAAACTCGTCATTCCCATCGCCACATTGAATTTTGGTTTCCCTTTCACAACCATCAGAGAAATCATTCGAGCCGTTGGAAAATGCTGGTCTGAAACCAGGAACACATCTACAAGGGGGAAGCTCTTCAGAATCATTGCAGATCCCAAACGATCCACACAAACTATAAACCGCACATCTATCATTAGGTTGAGACCATGTCAAAACCCACGACTGAATCAGGTCATCCCAATATTGCAGCATGAACATCCCCGAAACATCTATGACCAAACGATAAGTGTTGTCGTCCGGAGGACCTAGTCTTGCATAGGTGATGTAAGACTTATCCGGAGTCAATTTGAAACTCAATGCATCCCATGCTCCACTTGAAGAATATGACTTAGATCCATTCCAAACCGTGATGAGGGAGTGCGTTCTAGGGTCAAGCTGGAGAGAGTATCGACCCGGTGATGGATCATTCAAGCCTTTCCAAGAAGTGAGAAGTTGGCTTCCAGTGTTGAGTTTAGCACCTGGAAACCAAGTATCCGAGGGATGATCAAAGCTCTGCCACAACACAGGTGCCGAAGAGTTAGACCCATCTCTCAGAACTAGATTACCATTATCATGCAGAACAGCTTCAACATCCTTGCTTCTACTAGCAATAACACCGGTCGACCAAATTGTTTGACCGGTGCTATTATCATAGAGAATTAAGTTACCATCAGAGATTATAAATATTCCCTAAAGTAGGAGACTCTCGATTTGCAACCCAAACAATAGTCCGTAGAGGGAGAGGGACTCGCTTGTACCACATGCCTATGTACCAGAATCTATCAATACCTGTAGTTCGTTCGAAGAGACCGAGTTCGAAGATTTCACCGCTGGATATAAGTGTCGTCTGAAGTCCTAAAAGAGGTTGATTGGTTGAAATGGTGTCAGTTGCAGAAGAGACTTGAAAAAACAAGAACATGATCAAAACTCCCAAATATTTGAGTAACACATTCTTCTTGCAAGTCTCCATGTTTGTATCCGTAGTGACTAGTGCGTAAGCAATTTACATAGTGAAATCTTCTTTGTTGAGCCACGGAGTCCACTCATCACTAAACGCGTAAGTCAAGACTCAAGAGCAAACTTCCAAAATTTTCAGGGAAATAAACTAAATGGGATAATAAAAAAAAAAATACAAGAAAAGGAAATATCATGTAGATGATAAGTCATTTTTACAAGAGAGATTTTACTGCAAAGTTTGGGTTCACTGAACTTCCTTGTTCACCTCTTAACTATATATGAAAAAAAAAGATTTAAGTTAAATTGATGTAGTTATAAGTAAGTTTTCAAAAATTTATATATACAGTATAACCTCTATAAATTAATACTCGATAAATTAATACTTTCTATAAATTAATAAATTTCTCCGGTCCCAAGTTGGGACTAGTGTAATTTTGAACACATTTCGATAAAATAATAAGATAATAATTTTTTGAAAATCCTTTGTAAATATATGGTCCCATCAATATTATAAATTAATAATTAGGTAAAATTTTCAAATTATATGTATATATAGACACATTAGTTTTTGTTAAAGTTTATTTTTACATATTTTTTAAAAAACTTTCCAAATTCCGAAAATTTCTCTATAAATTAATAATTTATCGATAAATTAAAACCTCTATAAATTAATAGTTTTTCATGGTCCCAACATTATTAATTTATAGAGGTTTTACTGTAGTACAATAAATCAATTTAGTCTGTGGAGGATTACGTCGATTTCCTAAAACTTTTCTTTAAGCATCTTAATTTACAATCATCGTAGTTTCAATCAAGGGAAAATATTAAAAATATCCTTTTTCAATAATCTTTTTTCCAAATTTATTTTAAAAAGCCACTAAATTTATAAAATTTAAACAAATATGTCCGTAAACTTATAAAAATACGGGGGAAATTCAAAAATACGCCTTTTAAAAACTTTTTAAAAAACCTTATAAAACTTATAAAAACGACTTAAAATTATTTAAAATATTTGTATCGAATCTCCCAGTAGTAGTTATTATATAGTAGTACCTTATAAAATATATAAAACTTTATAATTTTTTATATTTAAATAGGGGTATTTTTGATAATGTATAGATAAAAGAAGTATTATAAAAAAGGAGTACACCAAAAGCGGTATTTCTCAAAAATTCTCTAAAAATATACATAAAATTACTTTTATATGTGTGTAAAATTATATAATATATATGCATATATAGATATATATATATATATTGTATAAAATTTTAGAACCTTGTAAACTGATTAAAAACCTTTTTAAGCCTTATAAATATTTGGATCGAATCTCCAAGTAGTCCTCCAAATTGGCTATATTGAGCTAATTTCTTTAAATTGATGACAAAAAAAGGAATCTCGTTATTATCAAGAAGTACCCTATAAACTTTATAAAATTTTATAATTTTTTTTTATATTTAAACAGAAGTATTTTTGAAAATAGATAGATAAAAATGACATTTATGAAAAGGGATACACCAAAAAAATGTATTTTTCAAAAATTATCTTCAATTAATCCATAATTATTAGAAATGTTTCAGCAGAATTTATCTTTGAAATTACTTAAATTACTAGATCTTAACAATTTTAAAATTTGTACTAGGGCCTTGGCCACGCTACGTGTGGCTTATTGTATGTATATTCGTTATTTTGATTTTAGATTTTCAGTTTATGTGATATGATTTTGGAAGAGTATCTAATACATGGTTAAATGTAATTTATACATCTATATAATTAATTAGAATATGTTAAATATTAGAAAGGATATGATCACACTTAAGAATTTTTCTTCTAAATCTCTGTATTATACACATTGGCAAATAAACTTTCTATGCATATTCTTTCTCGTAACTTAAGCTCTAGCAAGTTACACACAAACTTACACACATCACCGTCAGATTTATTTCATGATTATGACCAATTCCAGTCGTTAGAGTACATGTATCACTAATATTACAGAAGACATTAAACCATAGTAAGTACTATCTCTACATGAATAACTCATATGTTTCATAAGGAAAAATACCTTAAGATTAAAACGTAGTTTTGAATAATTAAATTTTTTATTCAAAACGATGATTTTGCAAGGGAGGAGACTAAGGGGGGTGTATTGAACTAAGCATTTTAGAAGAGTTTGAGATTTTTTATAAATCACCTGTTATTGAACTAATGATTTTTAAATATCTTTCAAAATCCTATGTTATTGAAAATGATATTTACATAAAATCATTCAAAATCATTTAAAACCTCTTGTTATTCAATTAATGATTTGTAAATCTCATATCAAATCTACTGTTATTCAAAAATTAACAATTTTTTAAAAAAAGGAATTCAAGAAGATTTTAGGAGATTTTGGATATAGTTTTACTTGAAAATAAAGGCAAACAAAATCTCACCTCTAGAGGTGTGATTTCAAGAGATTTGACATAAAATAATAATAATAATAACGTTTGTATAAAAAAAATTAGGAACATCTCCCTATATCTTCTTTCTTCTCCTCTCCAAGCTTCAATTGCTTCTCTTGGGGAATTTGGCAAATTTTCTCTTTGTTTTCAAGTTTTTTACGTTGTCTAAAACCATAATTTTCAATAATCATTAGTTTTTTACGTTGTCTAAAACCAAAATAGTTTGTAATCTTGGGGAATTTGAGAATTCTAAATAATAATTTTTTTCTCAGATCCCTGCAAATCTCTTTCACAATCGAGTTATAGAGGAAAGAAATGGCAAAAGCTCCATAGTTACATCATGACACATATACAAATTTCGATTCATGACGGAAGTTTTGAGACTTGAGCTTTGGTGGTTTGAGATAAATATTAAATTACCACACACATGACACAACACTCCAAAATCATCTAGAATTTAACTATCAATCTCACCAAATCACTAGGAGTTCGTTTTTGTAAGTATAGAAACACCTTTAAAATCATATAGAATACCATTAAATTTTACTCAAATCTCTCCAAATCTAAATTTCATTAAATCACACAAAATGCTTATTTTGTAGAGTAGCTCTCAGCCTCTCACATCTAAATTATTTGAGAATGAGTTGTTTTGTTAAATCTTTGAAGTAAATTTTTAAGCATGCTGACGACGTGGGGTATTTATATGAGATTTTTTAAAAGCTATTGTGGATAGTTTGTGGAGCCTCGATGAACTCTTTTCAATAGTAAGTAATATATTTATTTTGAAATTTTTATAGAAGTTTATTTAATGTTTATTATACCAATCTTAATTAAATTAATTTATTCGATATATCTTATATTGGTATGGTTAAAAATAGTAAATTAAAGATTTAACCGTGTTTAAGTACACATTAGTGCTATTTTTAGTTTTAGCGATTCAAACTCGTTCATACAACCCGTCATGCAATATGACACATATATGTTATTTTAAATTTTTAATATGTTTAAATATTCATAATTTTAGTTTATTTATTTATTTTAGATATATCAATTTTAATATGTTAAACTTCGTTAAAGTTTTAAGTTTACAATATAGGGTAATTTAAAAATTTAACTTCAAAAACTGAACGTGTTGTTCACAAAAAGAAAACTGAACTTATTATATAAAAATGAATTTATGTTTTGCTTTTTTTCATATGTTTTACTTATTTTTTTCTTATCATTTGCTTAATTTTTTCATTTTATTTTCTTCTTCTTTTCTAAAGTTGTTAACATTAGGCAGTGACAAAAATATAATCGAAAATTATATATTAAATAACATATAAAGAGGATCAAAGTGTAAAGCATGAAGACAAAAAAAAAAAAAAAAAGCATGAAGACCAACTTATGGTGTGATTCTACTATTGTTCTCTTTCGTTGTTAGTTTGATATTAGAATCATATATATAAAAGTAAGGTTCCACTCTCTACTTATTGGTGGAAAAATAGTTAAGGCTTTAATTCAAAAAAAAAAAATGTTTATGACAATCATTCAATACAAAATTTAATTACACTATAAGTTATAATCAAATGGCAAAGAAAATGAAAGGACTTAATCATATATCATTCAACAAAATAAATAAATAAATAAATGTTTATGATAATCATAAATTTAATTACACTATAAGTTATAATCAAATGGCAAAAGGTTCCACTCTCTTTATTGTTCCATTTTGTATTTATTTTTAACCAAAAAACACATTTAATCATATACATTAATTCATACTTTAAATTCACACGTTTAGTACTAAAATGAAACTGAAAATTATATAAATTTCCAAAGACTATTGGTTTTCTTTATTGAATTCCAATTAAACACACTACAAATTATAATTATAACTCCTCTAATTTAATTATTTTAAAAATGTAACTTACATCACTTCTTATCATATAAATAGCTATTCTCTACCATATCTCATATCTTCATTATTCTCTTTGTTTTTTTTAAAGTTTTTGCATGAGATCAAAACTCATTTAAAATATCATTGTAAGAGTTTGATTAATTATTTAGTTTAAACTTTTGTTTTCAATTTTATTTATTTTTTGTTTTTATGTATTTCTTTATGTCTTCATTGTTTTTTATATTTTTAAATGTAATACATATGTATAATAATATTTTATGGTTATAAGAAAATCAAGCTAAAGAAACCATCTTCATTCTTTTACTTTAGATGTTTGATTCTTTCTCACATATTCATGTATATTTAATTTATTTTCAAAAGTATGTAATTTTTTAACAAAATAAACTTTTTGTTATATAATTATCAAACCAATTTGTAAGACATTCTTTTAAGAATAATGATCCTTATATTTAGTTTGTGATTCAACATGTAATAATACAAAGAACATTATAATTTGTTTTAACTTTGAATTTTATACTTGATTTCATATCTAAAAAACAATTTGATATTCCATTTTCTATCTATTATATATACTACAAGGATGAAAAATATAATTAAACCTAGAAATATAACTTAAATTAAGAGGAATATAAAAAGAGATTAAAAATAAAATTATTTCTTGGGAATTTTTAAGGTTTCACTCTCTCCTTATTGGTCCATTTAGCATTTATTTTTTACTTATAATATTTATTTTTAATTAAACCAAATATCTAACACATTTAGTCATATACTTTAATTCATACTTGAAATCCACACTTTACTATTAAATTGTAACTTAAATTATATAACCTTTCAATTGACTATTTGTTTCCTCCATTTAACTTCAATTAACACACTATAAAATATAATTATAACTCCTCTGATTTAATTATTTTAGAATTGTAACTTACATCATATTTTATCCTATAAATACTCATTTTTACATCCTCCTCCACCATATCTGATATTCTCAATATTTTCTTTGTTTAATTTTTAATGTTCTTGCTTGCATGAATTGAAAGCTCAATTAAGATATCATTGGAAGAGCTTGATTATATATTTGGTTAAAACTTTTCTTTTCAATTATATTTCTTCTTTATTTTATGTACTTCTTCATTTTTCATTTTTTATACTATTAAATGTATAATACATATGTATAATAATATTTTATGGCTATAAGAAAATTACTTTATCGATGGGATTAAAAAATATTGATTTTCTGACCATCGCATCATAAGAAAATCAAGCTAAATAAACCATTTTCATTGTTTTACTTTATATGTTTTTTACTTTCTCACATATTCATGTATATTCATTTTATTTTCAAAGTATGTAATTATTTTAACAAAATATTTTTTGTTATATTCAAACCAATTTGTAAGACATTGAAATAAATAAAATTTTATACACAAATAAAGGTAATTTTGTGTATATTTATAAGTTTACACACATATTTGGATAAATTTCAACATTTTTAGTGGTTGTTTTTATAAAGGTTGAAAAGGGGGTAAATTTAAAAAGTGGTATTTTTAAATTCTCCCAATATCATTCCTATTTTTATCATTAACAATATTATTGTTTTATCAAAAATACTTAAAAGTACTAAAGAAAATTACTATCAAAATTGATTAATTGAACAATTATTCAACGAATAAATTCAAAAGATATGGATGTATGCTTCTATTGTAACATGTAATAAATAACATGTAAAAATGTCATATGCATTAAAATTTATTTAATCTATTTTTATAATTAATAAATAAATTAAAATAATTAAATAAATATACAACAACCCGCGCATATGCGCGGGACATTACCTAATATAATAATATATAATTCTTTTCTAAACCCCATTTTAATAAATAAATATACTAACGTGGATGCATAAACGAATTTAGTTGGTTGTCGGACATTCCGACAACCAGTCACGACTTTTTGACTATTGGACGGTATATATATATTTTTTTGTCGTCCATTCCATTGATTTCCAAACAAGAAAATTAAATGATGACAAAGTCTATTGGACGGTATATATGATTTAGTTTTATTACTTGCAGTTAAACTCACAGATTTACTAATACATAGAGTAAGTCATATAGAGTTATATAGATATATGTATTTACGTGTAGTGTTAATGACTTGGTGTTGAATAATTTATAGGATAAATAATCTTAACTATATTGAATATATGAATATAATAAATAGTAAATCTGTAAATACATATTTTCTTATCCACATGCCTTTTCTCATAGTATTACATTTTATGATCAACAAAACATAAAATTTTGGCATGTGTTGAACCAAAACAAAAATCGTAGAACATTAAATACGATTTTATGACTTCAAATAAAAACTAAAAAAAAATTGAATTTTGTTCAAATGCTTTTATAAATTAGTTGAAATCAGAAAAATTGTAATTAATAGATGATGAATTGAACAGGGCTTAAAAATAGAGGATAAAATAAAAGCATCTCCAATCTATCTTTATATTTGCTTCTATAATCTATTATAGAGGCAAATTTGCTTCATCCTACCACTATTTCTCACTTGTAAAATAGAGATTGCTATATTATTTTCTATACAATGAGGAAAGATAGAGTTTTTCTATATATAGAAGAAAAAAACAGAATTCTTTATTATACATAAGTATATTGGAGTAAAACTTACTTCTATTATAGAGCTCATGTATTTTAAAGATGAAAAAAAAAATCTTTGAACACTTTACAGTACAAAAAAGTTGCTACACTGTTCATATAGCTTTTCTTATTATATAACTATATTAACAATATTTTTGAATATATAAATATTATTTTAGTAATATTTAGTTTATATTATATTTTAACAGAGTTAAGAACTTTTTATTTATTTAAATATTAACAAAATTGCATATAACATATAACTATATATTACTCTTTAATTAATACATATCGCGATAATGTGAGTTCGCAATTTTGAAAACTAAATTTTATATAATAAAATATGTCACATTAACCGATTCATACAATGATACAAATATCAACTAACATATAATTTTACTTCGGTCAACAAAGTTTTAACCGAACTATACCCTCCAACTGATCTGTGTAAACCGGATCGGACAGATAACAATTTAAGTAACGCCGGCGAAAAGTGACAGTTTAGTAAGAACCGAACATCGACCAACATTATAGGGAAGATCTTAGTAGATCTTAAGTATATTTTATGATTTAATTAAATGACAAATATAAAAATAATAGGAAGAGAGGATCTTGCACAAGATCCAACTTTTGGACTAAGAAGTGCCACGTGGCGCAATTTAATTGGATATGCCAATTTTTTTTTTTTAAACCAATTTTTTTTATTTCTTTCTCTTTCTCACTATAATAAATATATAATGAAAAAAAAATTCTTTATTTATTTCTTTATTATAATAAATATATGTCTTATGTATGTTTTCAAATTCTAAATTTGCAATAATTATTAAATTTCCTAAAATTACAAATTATAAATTTATTTAATTTTTAAAAATTATTTTTTTTCTAAAATACCCAACTTAAGATATTACTAATAATCACATCTCAAAACCAAAAATAAAATTATAACTTTTAAGCTTTACTTTTTCAAAATTAATAATAAATTAATATTAAGATCAAAAATTAACATCATATCTATAATGTTGCTCTTTTATCTCCTTGTTCATAATCGTTAAACGGTGGGAGTTATCTAAACAAACCGAACCGGAGAAAACACATAACACATTAAAGCCACGTTTATGCTATACACTACCGACACATGCAACCTCATGCAACTGGACGCCACGTGTCACTCCCAGTCTCACCTGTTCACATACATCTTTGGACTATAAGAAGAAGTCTAGAAACAGAAGCAACGTTCTACTAGACTCGTATCTATAGTTATCTAACCCAACACGCAACAAAAACCTAAATTGCCGGAGGAAAGCTAAAACCGAAAGCGAAAGCTTGATTTTTCATCTTAGTGGTTTCAAAGTTAACGTTTTTGATTACGGACACGCAAGAACAGCGTGAGATCTTTGATTAATAGAGTTGGTCTCTGTATTTATAATTATCAGATTCTTCAATCTTCTTGAAAACAAGCAGAGATGTGTAGTTTGGCGACAAATCTGTTACTACCATCGAAGATGAAACCAGTGTTTCCACAGAGACAGAGCAATAGCTCACTCTCTTTCACCACAAGAAGTTCCAAGATGAAGAACCGATCTATTGTTCCTGTAAGTATCTCAAATCTTTTTGTCTTATCTACACTCTGTTTTCAAAGTTCTTGTTTATGTTGATAAGTTCATTATTTGTTTGATTTAGATACGTTTCTATGAGAATCTATTACTAATTCTGGATATTTTTTAGAATTATGTATATTTTTTTTTGTTGGTTAGTTTGTATACTCTGCTTTCTAGGGTTTGTTTCTTACCGTTAGGCCTTGTTTTAATCTTACCAAAGATTTGATTTTTTTTTTTTTTCTTGTTTTGAATGGATAAGGTTGCAAGATTGTTTGGACCGGCGATTTTTGAAGCCTCCAAATTAAAAGTATTATTTTTAGGAGTTGATGAGAAGAAGCATCCAGCAAAGCTTCCAAGAACTTACACTCTAACTCACAGTGACATAACCGCTAAATTAACTTTAGCTATATCTCAATCCATCAACAATTGTCAGGTAATCATTGACTCTCCATCGTTTTCAAGTGGTATAGGGTTTCGTGTTCAGCGGTTAAGGAGACTTATGGGAGCTTTTGGGTTTGTTTTGTGGGTTCAATAGTTGCAAGGTTGGGCAAATAGGTTGTTCCGGGACGAAGTCGTGGCTGAGTGGAAGAAAGTGAAAGGTAAAATGTCACTTCACGTTCATTGTCATATTAGCGGTGGCCACTTCCTCTTGAATCTCATCGCGAAGCTTCGGTACTACATCTTTTGCAAAGAATTACCGGTGGTAAGTTTTGCACTATCTTTTTTCATAAAATTCTAATGGTTATGATATTGTAATGGCCTTAACAAGATTCATATTCTATATGTATTGACCATATTGACCTATTGATTTATAGGTTTTGAAAGCTTTCGCTCATGGAGATGAGAACTTGCTAACAAGTTACCCTGAGTTACAAGAATCTCTTGTGTGGGTTTATTTCCATTCGGACATCCCTGAGTACAACAAGGTTGAATGTTGGGGTCCCCTTTGGGAGGCAACGTCGCACCAGCATGGTGGAAACAAGACTCGCAAAAAGAGTGAAACTTTACCGGAGCGACCTTGTCTTGATGAATGCAAATGTTGCTTTCCAACTGTTAGCACGATCCCATGGTCTCATCGTCATTATCAACATAGCGAAGCGGGTGACAATGTCGGGGGTGGCTTGTTAGGAAATTTTACACCTAAAGCTGAAAAGTCAAAGTGATAGATCTCATATACAAATGTGAAATGCATAGTTTGTTTTTATTTTGGGGGTTAGGATAGTTAGTTGGGATATGAAAGTTTATTTGTTCGTTGTTAATTTAGTATAACAATTGTATAACACAAAGTCTCAGTATTATAAGTTTCTTCTGTATTAGTTTTACATACAAAGTGAATAATAGTATTAGATCTACTCACGTGTTTTACATGTCTTTTGATTAATTAAATAAGAACACAGCATAAATAGTAGGATTTGGCATCAAGTAACGAAAAGACACCCTCAAATTTTTGGAAAGTATTCATTATTTGTATTGCCTCTACAATTCTGAGAGAGACAGAAAGATGTCTAGCCTTATGGCAAACTTGTTGCTCCCATCAAATTTGAAACCAGATTTATTTCAGACAAAGAGAGAAGTAGCTCATTCCCTTCAAGAAGTTCCAAGAAGAAGAAGCAATCTTTGTTTCCAGTAATAATCTTTCAAAGCTCTGTTTTTGGGAAACATATGTGTGATCTAAGAACATATGTTATCCATCTGACTTTTCTTGTTTTTTTTTGGAAATGGTGAAGGTTGCAAGACTTTTCGGACAGGCGATATTCAAAGCTTCTAAACTGAAAGTAACGTTCTTAGGAGTTGATGAGGAGAAGCATCCCTCAAAGTTCCCAAGAACTTATACTCTAACTCACAGTGACATCACCTCGCAGTTAACTTTGGCTATCTCTCAATCTATCAATGATTCTCAGGTAACTATCCACCATTTAACATTTGTATAAGCATTACATTTAGTGTTTGAGGTCTAGATTTTGGTGTCTGATCTATATTTTTCCCCCTCTGGTTGTGCCAGTTGCAAGGATGGACAAACAAATTGTACCGGGACGAAGTGGTTGCCGAGTGGAGGAAGGTGAAAAGTAAAATGTCGCTTCACGTTCATTGTCACATTAGTGGCGATCATTTCCTTTTGGATCTCATTGCAAATCTTCGTTACTTCATATTCCGCAAGGAATTACCAATGGTAAAAAAGTAAAAATTTTTAAAATAACCTCTCTATAGTCTATGTGATTATCGACTTCTTAGGCGAAGTAATGGATCGATTTATGTTGGGTTTTTGATATATAGGTGTTAAAAGCTTTTGTCTATGGAGATGAGAACATGTTAAACAATTACCCTGAGCTACATGAAGCTTGTGTTTGGGTTTATTTCCATTCAAACATCCCCGAGTTCAACAAGGTCGAATGTTGGGGTCCGCTTTGCGAAGCTACCTCGCGCGATGATTGTAAGACTCAGACTTGTGAAATCTTTCCGGAACTGCCTTGTCTTGATGAGTGCAGCTGTTGCTTTCCCGCGGACAGCACGATCCCGTGGCCTTCTCACTCTCATGGCAGCCAAGGTCATGAAGAGCATGAGGATGTAGCTATGGCCGGCGGAGAGAATCTTGAGACTAAGTACATGTATAGTCGTAGTAAAAGAAAATAGTAAAGACAACATAGATCTATCCTTCGCTGTTGGAGTAAGAAAGGTAAATTTATCTACCGTCGTTCCCCGAAATCGGAGAACACATATATGTAATTAGCTTATTAGATGTAAACAATGTTTTAAAAAGCGATCTAAGTGCTATGTAGGCGGATGATCCAGTGCAATGCTCTTAGCATCATGTTTTCGTTGTTCCTCTAGATAATGATAACGAGGCCGACTCAAACTATTTATGTCATGTGCAAGATTTTTCTTAAATGTTTTTATATCAAATTAGCATTTTCATATATTATCACATTAATTAGCCCCAATGTTGTAGTTCTATATATTATCTATCGTTGTAACATATTAAAATGACAAATGATGATGATGTGATAAAGAACAAGATGAGCTAACATGATTAGTGAAGAATGAGTTGCATTATTTGTTGTTGGGTCGATCGAGTCAATTATTTCTACAGCAATGGTCGTGCAAACGTAACTTTTTCTTAGATTTTTGAACAGAAGGTGACACTAGGCTTTTTTGAATTATTATGTACTGAGGAAACAAACAAAATACATGAATTGATTGTACGTAGATCATAATTGGAGGAATTGAAACATGCAAAATGAAATAGAAAAAAACGTGAGGTGCAAAGATTCGTCTTCGTTTTCTGTCCCACCGATCACGACGTATGTTTTATATCTGTTCTTAACCCAATAATACATTACTAACTACTATGTATTCACAATCTTTTGCTTAGGAAAAAAAAAAATTCATAAGGATGAATCAAGAATATATCTCAAAGAATCTAAAAATTTGTAAAATTATATTCGCTGAGAATCAACGAATACAACGCGCATCTTTTTATTTATTTATAAAAGTTACTGTATGGTAGAAATGACAACAAAATACATGATAAAACTTTGCATGGAATTAGAAACCTACAAAACATTTAATAAAATGAAACAAGCAAAAAAAAAAAAAACATTATATAAAATAGAACAAAACTGTTTAACTAAAAACACTTTAACAAAATAATGTCTTTGTTGCCTAATGAAGGTAACAATAAGGATGTTAGATTACGTGAAACATTTTCCTTTTTGGTTGGAATATTGAATTGGGTGAATGAAACTTGGAAGCAATAAGGAGGATAGATCAAAATCATCATTCTAATATATCAAAAATCGTTTTTGGTCTTGCATGGTTTCTATACTGTTGTTACTAGGGCCACACCTTAACGTGGGAAATGCGATAAAAATAATTGAGAGAAGTTGATCCTTGTCGGCCATTTTTCTTACTTCAACCTCAACACAGTCTGGTAAAAATATTGAAACTTAGACTAAGTAAAGAGATCAAATAGACAAAACCAATAGTAAATAGTAGTTAGGGGTCCTTAAAACATCGAACTCTAGGGAAGGAGAAAACTATATTTTACATTCTCCTTGGTATATACAGAAAAAAAAATCCAATCTATACATGGTGGAAAAGAACCTAAACGTTGATATGAAATATGGCATTAGTTGCTTCGACTAACTTTTGCATATTCATGAGAAAAGACTTACACAAAATCCCTGGGAGGTTTGGTTAGGAAGGACTAACTAATCCGGCTGTGATTTAGCTTTCTTCTTTATCACCGGAGATTAAAATTAAGAAAATAATCATGTCAAGGTTTCACCGGATTGTTGTTCTACCAAACGATGATGCTCCGATTTCGCTCTCCCTGTTCTGAGATTACCAAACAGAGTGTATGTGTGTGTGACTTATTGATCATTTTCACAGGATTAAGATTTAAGAATCAAGAATATATGCGGCGGTGTTCTTTACCTGAGATTTTGGGGAAGGGAAGACATTCCAGAATCTAAGGGTTTCATCTCCTGCTCCTGTCACAATCGTCTGCCGTACGAATACAAGAAAAGTGTTTTAATGCGGAAGATAGACAACCGCATAATGAGTAAGCAAAAGTATGTGATTATACAATGAGGAAAATAAAAGACTAACCTGTCCATCGGGTGAGACTGCAAGGTACAGAACGCGGAATGTGTGACCAGTGAGAGTTGCCAACTGGAAGAGAACAGTTTGAATCATTAAAATCCCAAAAATTCAGCAATCAAGAAAAGAAACCAAGATGAAGAAGAAAGAATTCTTACTTTAGACATTGTTGGATATTTCCAAACGACGATTTGGTTCTGGGAATATCCGTGTGTGCTCACAAGCTCATTCACGTTCTTAGACCACATCAGGTTACACACCTGTATGTATAAGATGATTATTTAGCTATAATGTGAAATGTCTGTCGTTTATTCAAAGTCAGATAAACTGGCCTTACCTGACTGTTGGTGTCTATGCAATTTAGATGAGTGTTTGTCGCTGTGTTCCAAAAACGGATACATCTATCAGCAGTGCCGCCACCGGAAGCAAGAAGTCCGTGAACATGTGGTGACCAGGCAATGGCTTTCACTGCTGCGGCGTGTTCACAGTATCTCAAAACCGGTTGTGTTGAATGTTGGTTCCATACAAAAAGCTGCAAGATCCTAGAATCATTACCCGTGCTTGAAAAATCATGTTGTTTCAGACACAAAATGAAGATATATATTTACCTTATTGTCATTTCCTCCTGATGCTAACTCGCGATTGTCAAAAGACCATTTGAGTCCACATACTTCGGATTTGTGACCCGTTAGCTTACTGACATGATCTTCTTGAGACCTTATATCTCTATGAAGTATACTCTTGTCTCTACTACCAGAAGACAGAACCAATGAGCTCCATGCCAAGGCTCCAACTCTAAGCCGATGACCTTCCATTGTCCTTATACTCTTGCATCGTACCGCATCCCAGATCTAGTAACAGAAAACAGTAAGGGTAAGTTTCCCATTAAAAGTTTATGACTATTTCCTCAAATCTTAAGACAAATATCAATCTTAACCACCAAGGATCATGTTAATGCAGGCAACATGATTCGAAGAACTAAACTAGTTAGTGCATTCCTGTTAAAGAATAATTGCAAAACTAACATTTCAAGGTCTCATACCATTCCTATTGTTTAAGTCAACCTAGTCACTTAAAAAAAACCCTTCCAAAATCAAGAAGCCAAAGGATAATGTATATCGAGGCATGTCTAGACTTAAATAATTAGATGTGTCTTGATTGCCTAACCTGTACTGTTCCGCTACTAGTTCCAATCGCCAAATGTGTTCCACGTAGTGACCAACCCACGGAGCAAACACTATCATCGACTCCAAGATCACATAACTTAGTTACCTGCAAAGAGCAGAAAAAGATTCACATCACAAGACATTCTCTAATACAAGAATGGAGCACAATTTTCAAATTAGAAAGGCAAAGGAAAGAAAATAAACTCACCTTGCTACTACAAGCATTCCACAAATACACGCAGTTCCCCAGTCCTACTGCTAGAACATTTTGTGCCGACCAATCTACGAGATTTAAGTAAAAATCATCTTGTAGAGCCGGCGCATCCAATACCTAACAACAACAAGAAGTCTCAACTCTCATCAACAGGGCAAATGCAACAAAAAAGGACAAACAATTCAAATCAAACTAGATAAAGAGTACACACTACGCTTCCCTAAAATACAATCCAGCCCCCACCATCAACCACTTCCACAAAGATTTCATAAGTCGCATTTTATAATTGTACACAAAAAGATGAAAAGTGGCAAACACAATCAAGAAACCCAAGTCACAAAAACTCAAATCTACCAAACAACACACAAATCATCTAA